AATAATAACGAATTGATTTCCTACAGTCATGACATTTTTTTCAGCTCAGGGTTAAAGACAAACAAGAATTTCCTTTTATTGGATTAGCTTAGGCGATAGCCTGCGCCCCCGCATCAAACTTAGACAAATGGCATTCTAATGCCTGCCAATGGGGGTCAATCTGTACAGCTTGAATGAGAGGAAAAATCAGGAAAAATCAGGAAAATCGGCCATTAATCACTTGATATGACAAAATGCAAACCAAAGAAATGGATCGCGCAGCCTTTGGGGGGCTGTTTAGGCGGTGGTAAACAAAAGGGTAAGGGTATATCGGGGTGTTGGACAGGTTAAACCGGTTTAATGCCGCTCCAGCGCCTGATCCTACCGCTTCTCCTGCTCCAGCTCCTCCTTCTTCTGCTCCTGCTCCTGCAACTTGCCTCATTATTATGCGCGCATTGTGCGTGGAAAGGCAACAGGAACTGGGCATTGCACATGGGCATAGGAATTTGTGGGGCCCGGGCCCAGGCCCAGTCCAAAAACTTGAAGCGTGCTCCGATTCTCAATTGCAGTCGGTATGGTACATATGCCTCCAGGGACAATTCATGCAGCCGACAGGCGGAAAAGGGGGGAAAGTGGTAAGGGGGGAGGGGTGGGGAATCGTAAAAGGAAGGCCGGCAAAACTGCAAACTCGCAATTAAACAAAGCCCTTGCTGCAAGAACAAAAACGAAACCCGGTGGCAACGTGTTGGCATTGCATGTTGCTTGTGCAGCAGCAACATCGGCCACAGCAGCAGCAGCAGCAGCAAAGGACTCCAAAACGCATTTCCGCCAGCAACGTCGCTTTTGCATTTTATGCAAAAATCGGCTATCAGCTCGATCTGGTTTTGACTTTGGGCGTAGACCATCTCCGTTGGCCAAATGCGGACTTGTCATATTTAGTTGGCAGAACAAAGCGATCGCCATAAACGCTTGCAAATCGCCACCAAATCGCTGGGGAAACGCTTTGCTCGCCAAGCATGTTGCATTTTAAAGCGTATTTAAACGCTAACAAAACGAAGTGAGACCGTAAAGGCATAAAATACTGTAAAAGGAAAGGGTATTTGCATTTATGCATGTCTTTTCGAAGGAGAGTCGATGGTAAAATAATTTGTTTGAAGTTCGCAACTCACTTTCCATATGAAATTTTTTCTCTCAAGGTTTCCTTTATTGATTTGGTATTTTACAAGGAGTGCTACTTCCCCTTCTTGTTGTTTTAAATGAGTTGCTTTGACAATGTAACCTATTTTCTCATAAATTTGATATATTAATAAGTTATTATTTGTTGCTTTTTTTCAATATTGTTTTTAGATACACCAGGTCGATTTGGATTATATATAAAACATAATCGTTTTGTAAAATAGATCATTATCCAATTATTTAGTTTTAAGTCCATGATGAAGAATTCTAGCTTTGGTGAGCGATATTAAATAAAATGGTCGGAATTCTAAAAAAATATTTAAATAAATATATATATTTAGTAAGTAATAGTTAAATTTATTTCATAATAATGAGGAGAAAATCGTGTTAACTAGTATATATATGTAAAAAAAAAGCCAATACCAATAAAGTAAATATTTTCGTTTACACATCAAGTATGGAAATTTAATTAAAATTTTTTGTAAAAGTAATAAAACTGTTTGACTTTAAAAATGATCCCCAAACAATTGTCAACCCCCGATTCAGATGGTGTCGCCAAAAACCCTTTTGCTTGGGATGGTACCAAAAATTGCTCAACCAGGCCCATAGCCTTCATTCTGGCCAAAAACAAGCTGGATCTCAGCGGTTGTCCCAATTTGGTTAAAAAAAAACTTCAGATGAACTGAGGCGTGGAAAAAATTCACTGGCCGTGTCCGCAATGCAAATGAGGTCCTTTCAACGATCCCGTACACTTGCACACTTGCCAGAATTTGGACATTGGACATTGGGGCCTCCAACGGTTCCATCTCCATCAGCAGCCTCATCATCCTCGTTGCTGGTGACAATTTAACACACAAATTCACTGAAGCGTCAACTTGGGCAGGCATAAATTTACAACATTCACCGCTGGCAGCCGTCAGTCAGTCGGCCAGAAACTCCCCCTCGCCGATATGTGCTTTAATTTTCCTTTTTCTTGCAGTTTTTCCTTTGTTTTTTTTTTTTATTTGCGCTCATGCTTTGAGTCAGTGAAGCGGAAAACTTTACAATCCATCAAATTAATGGAGCAATGTGTCACGAGGAGCACTCTGGAGCTGAACCCTCAGTTGGATTCCCTTTCCTCTGTTTCCCTGGACTGGCAAACCGAGTGATACTGCTCCTTCTGTTCCTGCTGGTGAAATGTCATCAACTTGAAATTGTAAATCAAGCAAAAATTGATTGAACAAAGCGCTGCGCTTGAGGAGCCCGAAGAACTGAACAATGAAGTTAAAGGCCAGGGAAATGGGGATTTCGGCCAGCAAATGGAGGGGAAGAGCCAGTGACAATCTGTTGAATAGATTTGTGCACAGATTATGCACTTCCACCTTTCCGATGACAAGCATCTGGGAATGAGAATTCGAGGCTTTGTAGTAGAGTTTATCAATGGCAGGGGAATTAGTCCTTCAACATTTAGCATTTAATCGAGAATTGTCACTCAAAAAGCAAATATACAAATTTTAAGTACTTATAAAATAAATTGAAAGTAGAAATAATTTAATATTGCATAGGGTATTTGTCTGAAATGATTAAACAACTAATTCAATTTGGGACTTTTTGCAAGCAAGGACAAATTTAATTAATCCCTTTTTTAGAAAGAGATATAAATATTTTTCATTTTTGATTATATTGCTACTAAACTAACTATAGTCTTAGATAAGCGTTTTCGCTGGAAACATTATAATATAAAATATAAATTACCTAACGTTTGAATCAGAAATATTAAAGCTATTTAATCACATTAAAAATTATACTTTTTTAAGTCAAGATAAGGTGAACTATTTATTTAGCTTAAAACAAACAAGTTTAGGAAAAAATAAAGCTTAAGCAACATTTTTAATCAGCATTAAAGATAGATTATTTAGAGCTTTTGGCTTAAAAGCAAACATTTGGAAGAGTTTCTTATTGCTTTTATTAATAAACCTAAACTAAACTTTAAAACTTTAATATGATAGAAGTAATAAAATGTTGTAAATAGTTGGTAAAATCGCATTTACTTTTAAGCTAATTTCCCCTTTGGTTTCCAACCATGGGGTATCATTTAAGAAAGTGGAATCAATCAATAAGTGGTTATATAACCAATAAATCCATAATACTCATTCGGACAGCCATCGCTTCTGTCATAAGATTGTCCACTCGAAACCCGAGCCTTCGGGCAGTGACAACACACTTTCCAACCTTTCACCAGGGACCGGGTAATATGAAATACAATTAACACAGTTAATGTGCCGATGGGTCAGCCCACATGGCACCACTCCACGTCCACGTCCACCTCCGCCGAAAAGTCGAAAATTCGAAAAGCCCAGGGAAGTGTCCCCACCTCGTCCAGGGAACTGGGAACCTGCGACCGACCGACCGACCGCCTTTCACCAACAGAAGTGACTTTAATGCAGTTTTCTCGGCAGACGCAGACCCCGACGATGGCATAATGAAAGTCCTACGCGATGCCATGGGTGAAAAACTTTCGCAAATATGCAAATCGTCCCACTTGCCATTTGCACGTACAAATGTAACTTACATTTTATAGACTTATCACGCGACACGCGGCCCGACGAGAGCGGTCCATAAATCTAAACGATATGCGCCCCATTGCCGCCCACTTGCAACTTGCGATTTGCAGGGATGCTGCTGTTCATATTGATGTTGGTCCTCTGCACTCTCAGAAAAAAAAACTGTAATTAAAAAAAACTTTACATCAATGTAAAAAAAATATTTGTTATTGGTTCAAAGACATAAATATAATCCTTTTAAACATAAATACAATAAAAAAACCTTTTTTGTTTTATAGTCAAACAATTATTCTTCAAATCGTTTTGAATTTTAAGCATTAAGAAAACAAAGGAAGACAAGTATTATTTCAAAGAAAATCAGATATAATTTTAAGAACTATGACCATTTACTTCTTCAGATATTTAGAAAATATTAAACTATAGTTTACATATGATGTTGTCAAGACTAATGCACTTTTGGATAAAATATTGTACTTTGTTTTCGCCAAACCAAGAATATTATATTATGTAAACAATTGTTAATAAGAGTTCTTCTATAATCTCATTATTTTTTTCTTTCTATTGAGACACATAAAACATATATCTGTAGTTTTAACTGTTGCAAGTTAAACACGTATTGTCATTTTGAGTTTAATTAAAATTTTTAAAATATAATAATTTTTTAAAATATAATAATATATTAAAAAATCATAATATATTAAAATATATATTATTTTAAAATATATATTTTTGAGTGTGATGTTTGTGCTGCTGCCACTGCCACTGCCTCTACCTTTTCTTTTGCTGATTTCGACGTCGTCACGAGTGGCAACAATTAATTTTCATACGCAGACGCAGTTGGATGGCGTGGATGTGGCAGTAGTGGCGGGCTGGAACTCGGGATCTCGGGTCTCCAGACAGATGGACAGGCCCACAGAAGTCATACTGGCTGGCAGGGAGCGGATGCAGTTTTAGGAGTCTTCGTCGGGGCGACAAACAAATTGCACATCGATGCGACTGAGATGGCGACTTGTGGCATTCTAGGAAAATAAATTTAAATAAACGCAAAGTCCTCGCCGTTGCTGTGTTTTCCCCTTCCTGTTTTCTTTTTCTTCCCAGCCAACAGAGCGATAGCGAATAAGAATTGAAAATGCAAATTTGCGCAAAAATAAAATCAAGTGAAGTGGCAGAGGCGGAGGCAGGAGACAGGGGGCACAGATTGAAGAGGAGTGCAGTGGAGTGGCTGACTTCGGGCCACAAGTGTTTTAACAATGTTTGCATGGCGCATTACGTGATTTGGCCTCCGCCCACAACCCCCTCCTCCTAAATCCTGCTCTCATCGTCATACTCATCCTCATCCTCAACCTCATCCCAATCCTCCCACTTGGCTGCTCCTTGCGTGTTAGCACCATGTTCAAATTTGAATAAAACGCAATGCGAAAACAGCGAAAACAATGCATAGCTAAACTACACAGATCAGATGAATCTTGAATACTCTTTAATTGGCTAGGAAATCTTTACAGTAAAGGAGTTGAAAAAAACCCTTTAATTGGGAGGAAATCTGCACAGTTAAGGGGATTTAAAGAGGGCTTTGCCTTAAACTAAAACCATATTGGCATATCAGGTTAGGCATTTTATATATCAATGGAACGTTTACACTAATTCAACTTTACTTTTAATTATTTTTTTATATAGAACACATATAGAATTAAAATTATGTATAATAATTAATTTTTCATTATTATTATTAATAATGTCAACGGTTTTTCGTTTGTAACACAAACTTATGTTCTTATGTTTTAATATAAAAGTTTATTACTTTAAAGTTAGTTAAACAAAGTTCATGTTTTTTAAGACAAACTATTTTTTTCTTACATATATTTAATATATGCCATAATCTTTTAAATTAAGATGTTTTCAACATATTTCTCTTATTTTTGTATCGCCTCATAATAGATTCTTAATTAAGATACAACTAAAAGTCAATTTATATATTGTAAATTTAAATTGTTAATTTAAGTATTTAAGTATTAAGTATTTGACTTAACAAAGGTATATGTGTATTTTAGAAGGTTGCTTTCTTAATGGACAGGTTCTTTGCCCAAGCGGTGCTACCTTTTACGGAAACAGTATGCCAGCGATAAGGACATCGCTTTGAAGTGGGTGTTGCAGGCGGCTGCTACCACTCGAACTCATTGACGCCTCTGCCTTTGCATTTGCCTTAGCCTCTTTCAGGCTATCATCGCCTTGGTAGCCCCAACTTCATCGTGGAACCTCCAACCCCTACATCGCCCCTCATCGGATGTCCCCTTGTCTTGGCGGAGCGACACTTTCGGCGACGCTGGGCGTAGATAACATTCTTGGCCGGCGACATTTTGCATGTCTGGAAGCTACCTTCGCGTCGGCAGTCGATAAATTAGCGCTTGCATCTTCATTTCGATGGCAATGGGAGTGCATTAGTCCATGGTGAAAGGTTTTGGCCAAGAGCCCTACGGGCCAAATCAAGAACAATGGGACAGGATACCCAAACCGCTGCACAACGTTCCTTTTTGCCTTTTTGCCTTTTAGCCCGCTGAGTCATTATTAGAATCTGCAGCTGCGACTGCACCGGCGGCTCAAATCCAATTACAATGCAAAATCAGCAGGCACACAATGGTTAAGGATTGTTGGAGCCTAAAACTCTGAACCTGAATCCAGTCCAGTCTTCTTTCCCCCCTTTCCCCCCTATTTCTTTCGATCGGCAATTTGGCCTTTGCTTCGCGGACATGGACATGGCCGAAAGCCGCTGGCCAACAGTGTCCACTCTCTGTGGGCCTTTTTTGCTTTATTATAGCAACGCTTATACAGATTAGAATAAATCAACTTGTCCCCCCGCGCAGACTAGACTCGGTTCCGTTCTGCTCTCGTTTTGCTTGTCCAGCGATCGGCAAACGCTACCGGCAACAACAATCTCAACCGGCCAGTTGGACTTTGCAGCTGCATTGAGGTGTGCAGAGCAAAAAACATCAACATATAACAAACAGTTAACAGTTCATACGAGGCATATTTTTTAAAAATTAAAAACAATAAGGCTTACATTTTTATGAAATAGTTATCTTTCAGTGCCTTATTTGAGAGTTATAATTAAAACAAGGTATAACCCAAGTTAAAACCAATAATATTTAACTTCTTTTGAGTCACGATGTATTGCATTACTGTTTATGATTTGTATTAAAGTCCGTAGGCCAAAACCTCTAAGGATTTTAGATTGCTTTAGATTTAAAATCTGTTGAAAAATATTTGGGTTTCATAAAGTTACATTAAGTTTAATGAAGAAAAACCTGGCCACATGCTTATTTATATACATTCCATATGGACAAAGCACAAAACTAAAATTGTATGTGAAATCATCAATGGATAATTAATGCGAAACTGAAATCGATTTGAAGATATAATAAATATAAAATAAATGTGTGTGCAAAATTTTTGTAAAATTATATTACAAAACTCCAGGCATAATCTTTGTGGAATTGTTGTAGACATTAGTTAAAATTGCATTCAAAGCTAGATAAAAGTGTATAACTTTTAAGGTTTTCTTCAGTGTAGTTTCTGGGATCTGGACCCAAGACTGACCACCCTACTGCCCAGATAGTTGGCCGCGGATCCCCATTAAATGCGCACCGACCGAAAGGATGTTGGATGTTGGAGATAAGCAGGCAAATAAGTTGGCTTACGCTAGAAAAGGAATTAATAATGCAGAAATGATGGGCTGCTCTTTTGGCTTGCAGGTTGCTGGAGAAGACCGGACGAGGATCGGAAATGCGAAACCGGGTAATGGAAAATGGATGAAAGCAACAGCCAAATGATCTTTAGAGGAAATCGCAAAATGGATTCATTGCTCACATTTGAGCTTTACTGCATTTCCTGGAGCTGTTACTTTGCTTACATGGTGTCTTGTATGATTATGTTTTAGTCATTAAAATGATATTTACTATTGGTCATTAATATTTTACTTGTTTTCTTTATAGCCAACTGAGGATTTTACTAAAAACAAGAAAGGCAGCAAACTTCAGTCAGCCGAAGTTTATGTACCCTTGCAGCTATTGCAAAAATTAAAAATTCTTTAAAACATCTACGACATAGGGAGCTGTACGATATGGACGGCCGACTTTTATGAAATTAATTCCGTAATTTTGAAATATTAAACCATTACTATATCTCGAGAACTAAAAACATACATTTAAAAATAGCTAAATTATAATTTTTATTTATTAATTTCTTGGATGGACGAAAGGTCAGACAGACGGACATGGCTAGATTGACTCTACTAGTGATGCTGATTAAGAATGTATATTTTTAGGGTTAAAATTGTCTACTTCACTGCGTTACAAATTTCCGACTAAAATATTAATACCCTCTGCAAGAGTATAACAAACAATTTTACTGGAAAACTTAAAGTTGCAGTGGTTCCATTTAAGAGCGTTTTGCTAGTTACCGTTTCTTTAGTGTGAGCTTAAAATCAAAATAATACATTGAATGTGAAGAAAGTAAAGGCATGCATATCAATTAAAATTTAACAATAGTTTTTTTTTTCATAAACTAAGCTTAGTATAACAGACAACAAAATCATTCCTCATCTTTAATTACCAATCCGAGGAATTACAGAAGGTCAGGGCTTTTCAAGAATACATGTCTCCAGGAAGAGGTTGCAATCGTTCTTTTACACAACACCAGGAAAAAAAAAACCTTGAGAGATAATATTGTGTCCAGAGCATCTGAGAACATAAAGTTCAACACTTGGCCGCTCGACCCAAAGCAAATCGTACAAATTAAACGCATTCAAGTGCAAGGTCCAGGAATTTTGATTGGGTCAAGCGAGTCCGAGGAGTCCGCGCGGTAGCTGAAAAATGCCATAACAAAATGTGTCAAGTGCCAGACATAAATGCCTAAGTAAGAGAGCTCCGAGGAGCATAAAGAACGGACCCAAGATGCGGCAACAATGCCAATGGTAGAGTCGTCTTGTTTTCGAGGCCTGCGGCCTGCGGCCCTTTTGCTGTTGTTTGCACTCGCCATTCGACATGCGGCTCCTCGGATCGGATCGCCTTGGATCCGCTCGAGATGCCTTGGAACAATAAATTTTCGGTGCGTCAGTTTTTGTTTGCTTCAGCCGTTGGTGCAGGCTTTTGGTTCTTCCTCTGAGCTTTCCAATTAAAAATGCGCAATTGGAGCTACCCAATCGCTGCGACTTGTACTTATTTGTAAGTTGCACGCATGGCTCCAGCTTCGTCCTCTCATTTCGCTCCTTCACGTCGCTCCTTCTCCCATCAGAGTTTCCATTAATTTACATAAAAATATCTTAATTGCGAGCCTGCGATGGCGGCCTTTCGATTCGATTTTTTTGCGCTTATCAATGCCATGTCATGTCGCCGACGCCCTGAGCTCAAAGCCCCTGCGAGTGCACAGGGAAAAAACCAAAAATATCGTTCGGTTTTTATTATCTTACACAGCGAAACAAATTTAAAAATCAGAAAGTCATTTTAATTTTTAAACTGCTACCACCTAAGGTATTGTTAATAAATCGAATGAACAAACGCAGGGAACATAACTAAAGCTCTCAACAAATTTTTTTTTTAACATGCCATCACTTTCTAATGAAATATATTTTTTAAACATGCAATATGTACTCAAATGACCACCAAATAAAAAAACGTGTACACAAAAATGTAAAGTAATATATAAAAATAAAAGAATAACAACTCTGGCCCTGCTAATAACCCATTTTATAATTTTGCTTAACGAACTGTAAACTAATTCTAAAAGCTAAAGAAAACCCTATCAATATTCATAAAAAAAATAAAAATTTAATTTTTTAAACATAACTTGTAAGTAAATCATATGTTATTGAAGAGAAATTACCTAAAACCATAAATTTGTGATAATTTTTCGCTGAGTGAATTCGCCTCCTTTCTGACAAATTTGTGCGGCTCCACGTCAAGATCGCCATCTCGATCCACATGGCATCCACATCCACAAGAGGCAGCAACACATGTCGGGCGACACTTGCAACCCGCCAGTTGTGGAGCATCCGCTGTCCGCCGTCCGCTGTCCAATGAGCCCGACTCCTTTGTCCATGCATAATCGCTGATAAATGTGGCTTTCTGTGCTGCAAAAATGATTTGTTGATAATTAATGCAGTCGGATTGGAAGGGGCGAAAAAACTGGGGGACAAACCTCCCGAAAACCCGTTTGCCGCATGCCGCTAAAAAAAAAATATTGCAAGGAACAGCAGCCAGCAATTTGTGCCAAAGTTGTTGTTGCTGTTGCAATCAGGCCTTAAAGGCAATCAACGCACAGTAATTCATGCCGCCTGACAGCACCAGCTCCATTCTCCATTCTCCAGACTCCAAACTCCAAACTCCAACTCCAGATCCCAATGACCCATACCAAACCAAAAATAAACCGAGTGAAAATCGTTTCCTAGCTTTTTTCTGCGCCTTCGTCACGCAGCTAATTGTAAATAGTAGAAGAGGGGGCGGTGGAATTTGGGGGGCGCGGCCAACATGATCGCAATTAATGCGGCTAAAGTTAGTCGGCTGCTTAATCGTGGCCACTTGATCAATTTAGCACGCAACCCGATCGGAAAAAGAAAGAAATTAAGGAGCATGGGGCATTTGTTTTACTTAAAACGAATCAAAAACTATAAAAATTTATTTCAGAGCTTGACCAAACTTTTTTTAGGGGTATACTTACGCATTTGTTTTTCATACAAAGACATATTAGAAACAAATATCGGGGTAGCCATTTAACTTTCTACACAATAAGAATTCTGTCAAAAAATACATAAATGCAACCTTGCGTATGGCATCATTTTTGCAGCCCTGAAAATAGGAGTCTAGCCAACCCTGGAAGCTTCCACCTTACGTTTTCGCACACTCTGTTGACGAGCGAGTTTTGTATTTTTTCAATTTTTTTTCCTAATATTTTGAGTTTTCCAAAAATGAACATTAAGAAAGCCAAACTGGAGATGTTCATGATGGCCGAGCAGGTGTGGAAAGATGCGGAGCGATGGCAGCAGGGCATTCAGCATGGTCAGGTGGCCATGAAGATGGTCAAGACCTTAAATCTCCGACTATTTGTCACCGAGAATCGCCTTAATCATGCGGCCTCTAGACGCGAACTCCAAAACACGGAGAAACAGATCAACAACTTATATATGCGCCTCCAGCGTCCTCTGACCACGATGAACAAAGTCCTTCAAACGCTGACGGAGCTCAGGGACAACACAGCCCGGATGCTCAATCGTTTGACGCTCTGGATGGACGACGACATAGTGGCGGAGCACATGATCATGCCAACGTTAAAGGCTTCCAAGCTTCTGGAGGTGATGCAGTTCCTCAGCCAACGCTACGATGCCGAATGGGAGGTCAAGGAGGTGGTTGTCAGTGAGTAGGAGGGGAGCAGGCTGGGAAAACACCAAAATTGATTTGTAATGCATTATATTGTTTAAAATATTTCATTCTTAGTTAATGACTAATATAAAATATTGTTAGATCCTTAATATTTGTAACAAATTATTGCGAAAACGGAAGTTTTAATACCCAGGCAGTCAAGAAATGGATCCGAAATAATGTTAAATCATATGATTTGAAAAAATCGTATAGGAAAAAAATGCGACATATAAGCCACTTTCTTGAAAAGCAACAGTTTTTAAAGTTTTTCCCGATCGTGTCTATGGCAGCTATAGGATATAGACTTCCGATCTGCGCCGTTTTCAATCTGCGTTTACAAAAAAAAAAATGCGATAGCGAAAGTTTTTAGTCTCTAGCTTTTAAACTGAGTTTGCAAATGTTTAGAAACGGTTTCAAAACCATTGTTATTATACCCTCTGCAGGGGAACTCAAAAATATTTCAGGTTATTGTAAAAAAATATAAAATAATTTTTTGGGAACTACAGTAATTTTTTTACTTAAATAATTATAAACACAGCAATCGTTTGTGCTGTAAGTTCTTTATAATTGATTAATATATGGCTTAAATAGTCTTGGAATATAAATTGTAAGCCAAAGTTCAATCAAAAGTCACACATAAAACTTCCAAATTTTTCAAATACCTTTTTAACAACTCTTCAGAATTATAATAAGAAAAAAAATTTTATCAAATTTACTTTACAGACGACTTGGAGCACATAAGCAACTCCTACGAGCTGGACCTTTTAATGGATGGCTGGAGCATTTGCAGGCATGCAGGAGGACAGGAGTTCGCCATGAGATTGCGCGAATATTACGAGATTGTTGGACACAATCAGCCTTTGGTTATGAGCACTTAATCCTTTTGCTTGGACACAAGAATCCACCAACAACAAAATACCACATATGCCATTACAAATAAGAAAACCGCATTATTGTTTTGAATTTGATGTTAGTTTTATTTGAAAAATGTTTTTTTAGTTTGTATTTGTTATCGCCTGCTTGCCAAACAAATCTATAATCTGTAAAGAAATTACAAAAAATTGCATTTCGTTTTTTTCATTTGTTTTTCATGGTTTTTTATGGTTTTTTTTGTTTGTCGTGTTTGCTTTGCACATTTAAAATTTGACCCACTTTTGACCTTTGCTATTTGCTCATCGATTTTGCTCTTGTTTCGTTTCTGACTTGGTAGCAAAACAAAACTTAATTGTAATTTTACTACAACAACATTTTGTTTTTGCCCATTATATAATATTTAATTGTATATAATATATAATATGCAATTCTGTAGCTAGATTTTGACATTCATGTTCTCTCGTACCCAATCTCGATATATATATATATGTATATATATATATATAGTGTGTATGGTGACTATAACATGCTCCCATTTGTTTTATAAACAAATGTCTGTCTTCATTTCAAATTGCTCCTCTCGTCCTTCGTCCTTTTGGAATTTAGGGATCTAATTGTTTGGATGCCCTCGAAACTAATTTAACTTAATAATTGCATACTTTTAGGCTAGGCTAGTAAATGGTTTTCCTCGTCAACGCTTAATGCACTTTTTTGTTTGTATTTTTCATAGCTTTTTGTGGTTTTTTCGGTTTTTTCGTTTTTTTTTTCTTTAACTTTAATTAGTTCCCAAGCCTTGAACTTGACCCTTAATTAACTTTACAATGAACGTGTATAACTTGTAGTCGCTCGCATTTCGTCAACTTCATTTCCAAGTGAATTGTGGTTTGTCCTTAGTTTAAGCTAATCATTAATTAGAAAATTTTCAACTCGTAAACTGAGTTTTGTTTATTAAAAAACTGTTCCCATTTTGGTTTTTAATCCATATATATATTTTTTTTCCTTATTTTTTGTTTTGGTTTTGTTGCTATGAATGCTTGTTGTCAATTGTTGCGGTCAATGTTTCGAGTTGGTTGTTTTCTTTAATCGTTAAACATTTGTTGTGCTTTACACTTAATTATTGCTATAATTATTTGCTTTTATTGGCGCCCGGGTCTTCGATTTCCCGGGAAATGAATGAGAGAGTGTGTGTGTGGCAACTGAAACCTTCTTAGCTAGGAAAAACTCGGCAAGCACGATAATATCGATCTCTAGAAAATGATTGTAAGCGGTTCCTTATTTACAGCGTGCACTTGCGTGATATATATAGATATGGATGATCTACGTGGGATCGGGTTGGGGTTCGGGATCGGGGGGCTCTGAGCGATAGGATATGGCAATGAAATGATGTAATGAAAAATCAGGTTTGCAAATAAGTTCGGTTTATTACACAAATAATAGAATACTAAATGAAATCGAAACTACTTAAAAGATATGCATGTGGGGGGTGTTGTGTGTTTTTATGTTGTTGTGGATAATTACTAGAAAACGTCTTTGTAATCGTAGGTTTTGTTGTTTACACAATTTATGCTAATTAAAATACACAGGTAAAAATAATTTCATTGTTTAATAATTGTTTTCCTCTTTTTACTTAATTGATTTTGTTTTAAACTTAAACCTAGCGAAAATCGTTTCAACGTGCAAAATCAATTGTTGTTGTGGTGTTGTTGGTGAGTGTAGAAAGCTTTCCCGTTCTTTACAAGCATTATTATTAATTTGTACACATTTTCGTTTAAGTATTTCATTATTAGAAAATTGGCTATGTGAGTGGTGTGTGTGTGTGTTTGTTTGTTTGTTTCTTTCTTTCTTTTGTGGGTGTGTTCAGTATCTGTGTGAAATACAAATGTTTCCCTAGGATTATACGAAAACAAGAGACAACAAAAAACACACGAAATTAAAAACTCTTCCTAACGCTCATCCTAACACTAAATCCTGTCCTCATCCTCATCCTCCTCTTACTCCTACTCGTCGTTCATCATCTGCGCTTGGCGTCCAGATATATATAGTTTTTATATATGCAATTTACAGTATACCGTTTCAGTTATTTATATGTTTTGTTTGTTTCCATCGTGTGGGTGTGTTTAATGCGTGTGTTTGGGTTCTTTTGGGGTTGGTTTTCACACTTTCTTCTTGTATAATTTAAATTTAAACTAATTCTCGCTTTGCACAAAAATTTACACAATTTATTGATTTAATTTATTATATTTAAATAGGGCCTCCTTCTTCTCTTTCTACTCCTCCTCCTCATCGTTCAATTTGTTGTAAACTATTTACTAATTGTATAATTACACTTCTGTTTTGCTTTGTTGTTGTTGCTGTTGCTGCTTACGGCGAATTGGTTGTAAATATGTACAAACTTTGTTACTTAGCCTAAATATGTTACTCGCTTTCATCCACGCCACTATTGTATATATGACCTATATGCCTACATGTTGTGTGGTTGTTTGTTGTTGTTTGCTTTTCGCTATTACTCATTCGCTCATCGTTTTTTGTATATTTATAAATATTAAACACTAATCGAACGCCAGCCTATGTATATGTATAAAAAAATAAAATTAAACAAACAATTCTTGCACTTGACACTTTTACAAATTCTCGACGATTAATAAATAGTAATGCTGTTGCTGTTCAAGACTTATCGGTAGACGATAAAGTTTTATCCGCTGCTCTCATCGGTGATCTCTTTTGTTTAGTGTTGTTTTGTTTTGTTTTGTTTTGTTTAGTGTTGTTTTCATGTTGATTATGCTAAGTAATCTGTGCGTTGCGTTAACTGCTGCTGCTATTGCTCTTGTTGTTGTTCTGTTGGTGTTTTTGGATTCTGTTAACTTCGATTCTTGGTTGCTTGGTGTTGGATTCTGTTCAAGATCTTTTCGGTTTTCTATTTTGCTGTTCATTGAGGTTGATATAGCTAGTGGAAGTTCTGCAAACGGAAGCATGCGACTGCGTTTGATTGATTGATTCAGTTTTGAAGTGATCCGGGGATCAGAGATCTGGAATCTGTCATCTGTCATCTGACATCTGAAATCTTAAATCGCTGGACCTTAGGCTATGGCCGCCGTCAGATAGTACAGATCCATAAGCGTCTGGACATTGATGGGTAGACAGGAGAGGCGATCGTGTGTATTGGAGTCAAGGGCCAGCCAGGAGAGGGCATTGTATCCCTCGAGGACGAATCGCAGCACATCCGCCGTGAGAATCGAGTCCAGCGGATGATCGTTGGCCGACTGATGGGCATTGGTCGAATTGAGGATATCGTCGGCAGTCTGTATACTGGGCACATGCAGGTGTAAGGCTGTCTTAAGGAACACGGGGCACACATCCTCCAGATGCGGACAGGCGGACCAAAACCAAGCGGGCATGCGACCCGTTGGCGCCGTTGACACCATGTAGCCCACTGAAATCGGCTGCTGATTGAGCGAACCAACCTTGAATGGCAAAGAAAAATTATTATTATGGGTTTTGTCCTTGTCATTAAATTATAGATCACCAACCTCCTCCACTTCCTGGGGCGGTGTACACTTAAAGTTGTTGCCACCGGCGCTCTGCCAACTGCGATTGTCGTCCATGCGTCCTGGACTACCATGATTGGAATTTCTGTCTATGTGGCCTGATTTCAAATGGGGAAAGAGTTAGTAACTGCAGGCACTTTCGTTTTTTTATTTACAAGCACTTACTGTCCCAGAAAATATCCCCAATATCCGCATCGCTGAAGTCCTCGTTTCCCTCCTCTTCGAAGGTAAGGAAATCATCCTCCACTTGCGGCTCATTCTGGAATTGGCGGGTAAAGGGCTGAAAGCAAGCGGGAAAATTCCAATCAATTCCAATCTCATCTTTAAGAATATATAAGGTACTAAACTTACCGCACAGACGGCGCTGGTGGGAAAGACCAGGATGTGGGTGCAGGTAACGTCTTGCGGCGTCGCCAGTGGATTCTGCATCGAGATCTGTGAGAAGCGCTCATCCGGCGTAAACTGATCGGGCATCACGCGCAGCTTGGCATCCGGTTCCAGGGTCACCAGGCAGGCACTCAGAATGGTCGGTGGATACATCAGTGTACATTGCTTGCACATGTCCTTGAACTGCTTGGATGCCTTCTGCAGCTGTTGCTTACTCAGCAAATAGCTCCAAGACTTCAACTCGCTGTGCCCAATCCGTCCAATGCGACCGATGACCAAACGCCACATCTGCGATGTCTGCGAGATGATGCCCATGATGAAGTCCATCAGTTTCTTGAGTGCCACATAACGGGCGGGAGCTTTCCGTCTCCTTGCACGATTCGGCACATCAATGTTGATGCAGATCTTCTCCAGCAACTCGCCCCTTTCATCTGTGGCGGTGGCCAGCAACCAAGCCTGATCCTCGCTCAGGCAGTAATTGCAATACATCACCGAATAGCGATGTTCATTCTGGCCATGCATACTGCCCGCCGATCTGGTGAAGTCCGTCTTGTCATTTCGCTCGTGCATCGGCGCCAGGACAAAGGGAGCGGTGTACATTTTGTAGGCCCGTCGATTGGGTTCGTCCTTGGTCTTGAGGAACGCCTCCATATTGGCGGCCGTTCCAAAGCCTGTCAGACTTTTCACGGACTGAGCGTGCACCAAATGTCGCCGGCACTGTGAAAAAATGTTCAATGCCAGGCACTTGATCTCATCGGAGAAACGCCTTCGATTGCCACAGGGTCCCAGTTCCATGATCGATTCCAACGATATAATCTGTATGCTCATCTGCGCTCGCACCGAATCGGGAACGGCCTTCAGGAGTTCCGCATAGCAACGCAGCAGGGCAATTAAAGCCAATCGCTCCAGTTCGCAGCTATCCGAGGCGAAGGTAAACGGATTCACCACATAGAGAACAATGGCAGATGGATTGATGTCCTCCAGGGTCTCGCCCATGCCCAAGGGATCGCCCAGGATCAGCGCTGGTTTAGTGTCACCAGCTGCAGCAGCTGCAGCAGAGGCTCCTTTTCCCGTGCCCGTGCCCGTTCCCGTTCCCGCCTCCTGTTTTATTTCGGTGACTTCCATTGGCTGAACAACTGGCGGTTCGGTGCCCGGTTCCAGTTTGATGTTATCCGTGGGCATTGTGATGTTATCGCCACCAGGCAGACCAGTGGCTGAAGCGTTGTTCGAGGACGAAGAGCTGCCTCCCTTGTTGGAATTGGAGTTGGCCGTGCCATCGGGTGGATTCAGCAGCGTCTTATCGTTGGGCACTCGGCTCAGATATGGAGCCAATTGGTGAATAAAAGCCACGGCATAGCGACGAATTTGCTCCGCCAGAGCAGTGTGCTCGAGAGTGCGCAACCAATCGTCCAACGGCGTGGTCTCCCGATCTGTGGGCACATTGCGAGAAGCTCCCACTTGGAGGATGCCCTCCCAGCCACGAATTGGGGTGTGTTTGCCCAGCTTGCACATCTCGTAGGTGCTGCTTAGCTCACGGAAATAGCTGCGTGTGCAGCCAGCAACATGCTCGTTGTCCGGACACACAACCACGTACACCACATCCCTGGCATAGGAGTAGGGTTCGAGGAGAAACTTATCCCAGTAGTGGATGGAGTGGGGTGCCACCGATATCCAATCCTTTTCGTAGCCCACCACCACAGAGGGTATGGGTTGCGGTTCACATTGTCCGGATGCCCGACCGGCCAGGCGATGGAATTGCCGCCAGGTGAGCGGTCCACTCACCGTATTGTACGAACTGGCATCCTTTGAGCCAGAGCCACCCCTTGACTTGCAGTGGAAGGCACTCTGCAGCATCGGCTGTATGGCATTCATGGTGCGCACAATCTCCTTGTTGCTGCGCGTGAATCCAACGGGAAGATATGGCCACTTGTGGACCGTCAACCGGCCGGCGCCAATCCCCGCCAGCTTGTGTCGCAGCGCCGGCGGTGGGGCATGAAAGGCCGTGAGTTGTTGCTGCTGATGGGAGCTACTGCTGCCGTTGCCATGAAAGTCCATCATGTTGTCCATCCGCTGGTTCTCGAATGCCAAACGCGCCTGTTCCAGGGCCAAGCTGATCACGTCGTGCGCATCCATAAACTCCAGGACATTGGCAATCGAGGCCAACGAGGCGGTGGGTGCTCCATTCGTGCCAAAGATCCTCCGCTGGCGGGACATTCGTCGCCGATGCGCCTGGAGAGCTCTGTGCACGGAACTGCTGGATGTCTGGATGATGGAGCACTGATCCAACAGCAGGTCAAAGATGGCATGGGCCAGTTGCTCCAGCTGTCCACCGGAAACACCACCCGCGCCGACTTTCTCCAAGGCGGAACTCGTTTCACCCGGATTACCCTGTTTGATCTGGTTCTTCCTGCCCAGACTCTGGATGATGCTGAGCAACGAGGGTTGCTTATTCCTGCCCGGATCATCCGCTATGCCCGTTATCTCCACCTCATCCTCGTAGAAGAGTCCAGCGCGATGGGAGAGTCGACGGTTGACCACTGCGCTGAAGCCACACGTACACTCCACGGGATCATCGTCCACATAGCCGGTGATGTGGGGATTGCTGCTGGGCGGCGTGCAGGACGACGAGTTGGAGCCACCGTTCGGACCATGGCCATGCCCGGAGCCAGCTCCGGGCATCGAGGCGGAGGCCGGCGAACCCCCAAAGGCACTGATCATCCGCATGCCGCCAAAACCAGCCGAACTGGGTCCATTCACTATCCGTTGTCCAGCTGCCGCAGCTCCCGCTGCTCCCGCTGCTCCACCTCCACCGCCACCTCCAGCTGTCGGAAATGGATTGAAGCTAACGCCGGGCAGGGGTACATATACGCCGGAATCCGCTCCCCGTATATTGCCAATCTTCTGGGTATCCGCATTGCACACACACACACTGCTGCTATCAAAGTTGTGATCCCGAAAGACATTCAGGGCCGTGTCGTAGAGCAGGATGTTCACCAGCACAGAGTTCACTTCTGGCAATTCCTGAAGCAAACTGGAGGAACCGGCTGCCAACGCGGTGCCGCCACTGGCAATGCCCGCATCGCCAGTGTACGGCATCATGCCCATGTGTCCGCCAGCTCCAGATCCAGCTCCTCCGGAACCCATGCCACCTGCTGCTCCTCCTCCTCCTCCTCCGCCGCCCATATTATGCATGTGCGGATGCTCCTGCGAGTGAAGTGGCCGATTCAAGTACGATGATGTGGAGGTGGCCGGACTGGCAACGGCCAGGTCATATGGATATGGCGGCGGTGGATGCGTGGGCGTCGCCCTCGACATGGGACTGCTACGGGCGCCATAGGGACCCATTCCGGGACCCGGTGAAATGGGCGACATTCCGGCACGCTGCATCACCTGCTGCATGGAGCTGCCGGGCGGCGCCTGTGGGCAATTCAGCTGATTCAGCAGCAACTGACTGCCGCCACTGCTCAACGGTTGGGGCACAGTGGAGGGCGTTAGCGGTGTCCTTGGTGCCGCCGATAGCAGATCATGCAGATGCTGATGCTGGTGCTTCTGATGGCCCACGCCTCCCGTCGATGCCGCTGCCGCTGCCGCTGCTGCTGCTGCTGCTGCGGCCGCCTGCTGTTGCTGTTGTTGCTGATGATGCTGGTGCTGGAGCTGCTGTAACTTTTGCTGATGCAACTGGATGCACTGCTGCAGGGCCTGATGCTTCTGATGCTGCTGCTGTTGAGCCGCCGCTGCCTTGGCCAGAGTGGCCGCCCTGGATTTGTGACTACTCCAGGTGGGTTGATAATAGCATCCCGGCGGCAGACTCAACGGCGGCTGCGTTTGGCTGGGCAGATTCGTGAGCGGTGCATAGCGCGTCGAGCCCACAAACTTCTCCTGCTGCGGCGGTCGATAGACAAAGTTCCAGTCATCGATGGGCTCCTCCACCGGGCTGCCCAACTCCAGGTTATACTCCTGCTTCACCAGCTTGGATACGGTCTGGATGGCCACCACGGTGACGGGAGCTTGTACGGCTGCCAGGATAATACTGGTATTGCTGGCATTGCTGACATTGCTGGCATTGCTGGCATTGATGCTACAATTGCCAGTGGTGGTGGTGGTGGTGGTGGTGTTGATACTACTCGTAATTGTGGTGTTGCAGGTAGTCGTGTTACCACTCCCGCTGCTGCTGCTGCTTATACTGGTTGCGGTGGTGGTGGTTGCGGTGGTAGTGGTGGTTGTGTCCACACTGAGATCCGTCATGACCACGTCCGTTTGGCAGGGACTCGAGTTCGGATGCTGCTGCTCGTGCGACGGCGGTGTGGGAAACATTTTGGTTAGATCCTCCGCCTGAATGTTGCCCGCTCCCGAGGCCGCCGCCGCTGCTGCTGCCGCCGCTGCCGCTGCCACCACAGCACTGGCCACCGCTGTGCTCCGTTTGAGGTCTTCGATGGTGTTGGTCACAGCACTGCAACCGCCGTTCGAGGGATTATTGGAATCGGGTGGCGTGTGTATCTGCACACTGCTGCACTCATCGTTTGAGCTCGTCTCGAACAACTGCTCCAGATCGTTGAGCGATGGATTCAGCCCTTCGGCGGTGAATAGATTGCCACCGCTTCCACCGCCACTGCTGTTCCCTCCACCACCCGAAGATTTCGAGGTCTCCTTGCAGTTGGGCGAGTGCAAACCGGGCTCTGTCTTAATGTCCAATCCCTGGAAGAAACTGCTGCCACTCTCCGCTTCTGCATCGCTGCCATTGGCCGTACTGTTGGCAATGCCCACTAAACCGCCACTGGATGTGCCCGTCGCTGAGCCTCCGCCTCCGCCTCCAACTCCTCCTCCGCCTGTCAAATTCGCGGACACATCCAGGGAGAGCAACTGTGAGCCATAAACGGATCCGGGTGACGGCATCAGCGGCTTCACATGTGTATGTCCCTCGTAGAGGTTCTTCGCATACCTTGGCCTACGTTGCTTATCCAGTTTCGGTCGCTTCACCGGCAGATAGTCCCTAAAGGTCGATAAATATTGATGTTTTAAAGAGTTTATAATAATATATATATGTGTGAGATTCTCACCAGTTCTCCTGGTACTGAAAATCGTAGATGACCTCCTTGAGCCACTCGTCATCGTAGAAGCTATCCGGATCCTTAAGGGTCAACTTTGGCGGACTGTACAGTCGCCTTAGGTTGTTCAAGGCCTCCGTGGTGGAGGTAACACCTCCTGTCCCCCGTCCCTGAGCACCTGCATCCTGTCTGATGGCCATTGCTGCCGTTGCTGGCGTCTGCTGCTGTTGCTGCTGCTGCTGCTGCATCTCCAGCTTCTTCACACTGATGGTACCCACTGCATTGCCAACAACTGCGTTTGCACCTCCACAGGAACCAGTTCCACCAGCTGATGTTGCTGCTGTGGGCGTGCCCGGTTGCTGGGCGGGCACACTGCCGGGACCAGTGCTCAGGGATTGCCCACCACCAGATGCTCCCCCGCCGCCGCCGCCGGCCGCATGATCCGTATAGGAGGGCGGCTCCACGCTGGGCGTCTGATGGACATAAGGTGAGGCCGTAATGCTCTTGTTGTCATGCTGGTCCGTCGGCGTCGGCGCCGGTGTATTTTTATCCAGCAGGTGGTCGATGGGCGTCGGCGGCTGCTGCAGATTGGAAACGGAAGTGGGCGCATGCGGACTCATATTGAGTAGCTGTTGGCGTAAGGAAAAACAAAATAACACAACGAGTTAGTTAAATAAGCTGGCTTGGAGTCTTTGTCTTTGTCTGTTTTTTTTTTTTTTTTGGGGGTCGTCACTTGCACTCACTTGCTCAGCGGGCGGCACGGATGTCGGTTGAGAGTGGGCTGAATTGGGATGCGGAGAGGGTGCGGGTGTGGCCGGTGATTCCACGGAGGCCACTGGCATTGAGGAGTCGCCACCCAAGGAATTCCGGGAGTACGTTGAGGCCCCGCCATGTGGCGTTCCATGAGGTGTATTCCCCAGATGTCTGTGGGAAAGAAAGGAAAGTACACACATCATAATTAGCAAGGTGGTTACAATTTAATGCCAGTATAAGTGATATCTCTATTTTTTTTTTTTTTGTAAATAGGTTATGTACAATGCTCAAACTACGGATAATGTAGCTATGGATACACAGGTACGTGTATATTAATACTTGTAAATAATGTATTGATTGGGGTACTCCAGCAAAAACAAAGTGTCCCAAAAAGAACTATTAGCAAATAGAAAACAAAAACCACATCCATTGTTTAAGGTTTAAATAAATTAACAAAACCTTTACAGCTGCAAAATAAAAGATTATAAAATGAAGTGATCACAAAAAATCTCTAAACATGTATAAGCAAAACGAAATTTTTGTTTTAAAACACTGATCTAAAGAGTATTTTTTGTAAAATGATAAAATATCAAGAAAATGTTATCAGTGTATTTAATACTTTTAATGAAAAACTTAAGATTTGTGGCTCAAATCTAGTAAATATTACACCGCTTAAATCATTTTCTTGATAAGCTTTAGAGATTTATTAAACACCCATTTTATACGTATTATATATGCAATTGTTATTTACAAGTTGGAAAACCAGCGAAAGAAATCAAAATCATTCCACAAAATGCATAAAACCTAGAAGAATAAAACAAAAAGATCCATGCGGCACCAAAACCAAAGTGCTCAGGCCTCAGTATCCAGCAGATACTCGTACTCAATCCAGTATCGGTATCGAGTACTTGCTAAACGGGCCATGAGAAAATGAGAACGACAATGGGGAAAGTGGATTTTTTTTTTTTTGGGGGGGCGGGGGCAGTAGATACTAAGCTAGTTAAATGCTACGAAACGTGTTGTATGTCCTCGAAATCGAAAATATTATACAATTTGTTTTTAGATCGTTGATCGCAGTCTTTTGTGTTTTAGCGTTGCTTTGTTTTTATTTTTATTTTTGATGTTGCTAATTAACCATTTACCAAGTGAATTAGAATAAAAACTTGTTATTGCAAAATGGCCACGCGCGAATGTTTATGTGTGTGTGTGTGTGTGTGTGCTGACTCCTTTTTTTTTTTTTTTGGGTGGGGGCGTGGTGAATTAAAATATGCCCTTCTTTAATTCCAGTGTATTTTGTTAGGGGTCAGAAAATAAATATGCTCAAAAACCAAACAACAAAAGAATTAAACATAAGAAAATTATAAGGTTAACAGAGCGTGTGAAGAGAGTGGATAGAAAAATATATATATGTGGAGAAAGAGCGAAAGTAGGAGTACGGGTGGTACACACAGCAGCGGTCAAAATAATAGCACTAAAGATGTCTTTTACTTTTTAAAAAAACTTTTTTTGACTATTGAGACTATTGAGAGATGATAAATGGTTCTTTAAACTGAATTTAAAAATAGACAACAAGGAATACAATATGAAATATTTTCTTTTGCCATATTTGGTAGTTACAAAGTCCAAAAATTAGTTTATTAGAAACGTTTTTGACTTAAAAAAAAGGGATCATTTTCAAATTACTAAATTAAACAATTTAACAGTCCTATATCCCTCAGTGCTTTTATTTTAACCACAACCGTATATGAAAAAGAGAAAACTGAATAGCGTTAAACTAAAAACATAGGCAGCACTGGCTATAATGAACAGACGCCACTCCACTCAACACACAAACCTTTGTTTTGGTATATTGGTGTCTGTTGTGGTGTTGCTGTGGTTTTTGGCTCTAAACGTGGCCGAGGAGGAGGCGGTGGATGCCAGCGAATGGAGCAACCGCTTGTGGAACGGCACATTGTGACGCCGGAGGGCGGTCGCGGAAGAATTGGAGGCGGAAGTGTTGCTCAGGGAACTGGAATGATGCGATGTAACTGCTGCTGCTGCTGCTGCTGATGCCGGTGGCACAGGTGTTCCCGGTCGCTGTTGTTGCTGTTGCTGCTGCAGATGTTGCTGGTGGTAATGTTGCTGGTAAGATGACGACGAAGACGATGCTGACGACTTATTACCGCTGGCACCGATAACTGCTGCTCGCAATGCCGGCGATCCCAGCGGTTGCTGTTGTCGCTTGGTGTTGCTGATGTTGCTGTTGTTGTTGCTACCGCTGCTGCTGTATTGGGCGCTGAAATTTGTTTTTTTTGGGTATTTTTTGTTCGGGTTTTAGACACTAGCAACACAATTTGTAAACGTTTCGCTCTCGTAGCATTGTCTTTTGGCTGAAAAGTTGTTCTTTTTTTGTTTTGTTGCTGCTGTGTGGGTTAAGTAACTCAAAAAAAAAAATTGTATAGAAAAAAAGAAACAAACAATTCTATGGCCTATCGCATGCACAGTTAACAGCAAAAACATGGTCGAAACTACCGTCTTTAACTGCCTACAGCTGGCTAAGGTAAAGGTATTTTTTAGGCATGCCATCAAAGCGGGTTCTTTTGTGGTTTTTAGGGGGGTGGGTTTTAGGTTCTTAGAGGGAGCACAACATCTCCCCTACATCAATTAAATGTGAATATCAATATCTTTTGGGATAATAATTAATATTCTAATAGAGGCAGCAAAAGGGATTAGAAAAAACACGCGCTGGGAAAAAGAAAAGTGCTTCCACAATCTCTAGAAATTTCTGGTCTAAGCAAGCTTAATAAGTGAACTTAAAACCTACACAAAAATTGGTCTTAAAAATTTCATCATTTTTGGTTTAAAATTATTTTTAGAAAAATAGCATAAAATAATAATAAAAGGTAAATAAGAACGGAGTAAGTCTCAAACATATTATGGTATAGCTTCGGACATTAAATCTTTAATTTTTATGCCTATATAAATAACATTTTATTAACCAATCTGACCCTAGATTTGTAAAAAATTAAAATCTGTCTAAAAATATTTGTAATTATTTTTTGTTGGGGCATCCAGAAAACTTTAACCCGGACCTAAAACAACCTGGTAAGAAACTAAAAACCCTTTCCCTTTACCTAAAGTCTGGTTTATAGCCAATAACAACAAACAAATTCAATAAGAGCATTCAAACTACCAAAATAAATCAACCATCTTGGATTATTTTAGACACTTAAACTATAATTAAATTAGCTCTAGAGATTATAGAATACCCTTGCATATAGAGAGGAAGTAAGAGAGCAGGGAAAACTCCTCTATAATTTGTAGCAAACTAAAGGAACGAAACTCACTTGGTGCATATGCAGGGCGCCTTTTGCATGGGATCCACAAAATTCCAGAGCTTCTGTCGTTGCTGTTGCTGCTGCTGTTGAATCTGCTGCTGCACCAATTGCTTGGAATCCTGCTGCGGCGGTTTGTTCTGCTCATTCTCGTCGCCATCTGCCAATGTCCCCGTTCCGGAGGAAGGTGTAGCAGATGCCACCGCTGCTGCTGCCGCTGCTGCATCCACGTGAAGCGTGTTCATCACGCAATCCTGCCAAGTTCGTTCCGGCATTTCCACGGCAGCCGAGGCGGGTATGTGAGTATTGTTGGTATTGAAGGTGAAGCCCGAGGTGGGCCGTTGATCGTAGTAGGGCTGGAAGGCGAGACGCTCCAGGGCGCTGACCGCCTGAGGAGCTGCCTTGCGGGATACCTCTTTGGCGGAGGCGTTTGTGACGGAGGCCATTCCGCCCCCTCCTCCTCCTCCTCCTCCTGGAGCGTTGAGGGAAGCAGGACCCACAGGAATCGCTGCAGCAGATGGACCCGCTCCCAGGGAAGGAGGAGCAGCTGCAGCACCCGGTGGATAGGAAAGTGAGGCCAAAACCGAAGCCTCAGCCGCCGCTCCGCTCACCGAGCTTTGCATCTTCTGCATCTCGACGAACTCCATGTGCTCCATGTCGTCCAGGTCTGTGACTAGTACGTAGTTCGTGGGATGATACATCTTATGACCACCTGGGTGAAAAGATTTAAAGCAAATAGTTTAGATCACAAGTGCTAGAAAGTATTCAAGTGCGAGTTACTCACCCGACACCACTTCCACCACGGGTGGTACATCCGTGTTGTCCTTATTGCACAGCGGAAAAAACGAGGCCCAGTCCTCGAGGATCTTCTCGGCTATGGGATCGCTGGCCTTGTAGCTGTTGCCGGTGAGTATGGCCGCGATTCCGAATGGGGCCAACATCACCTTGCGTGCATGGGCCGGCGGCGCCGCTTTGGCCGCACCTTCCCCACCATCCAGGGGCTCCATGCCGGCGCCATTCGCATCGTGACCAGAATTAGGCACTGCTCCGCCCGCTGACGCCGCAGATCCTGTCGATCCTGGCGGGGAACTGGCCGCCGCAAAGGCAGCCGCCGCCTCGGCCAAATGCTCCTTGGTCAGCGGACGAACGGCGGGATGCTCGCGAAGATCAATGGAGGCGCAGACGGTGTCACCGTGAACGAAGAACGTGAATGAGAAGGACAAGTGTTGAGAGCTGAAGGAAAAGAAATAGTAGAATTAGCAAAAAATCATACAAAGACTCATTCAATAAGGTTGCACCTTCAAAAACCAGACATTTAGATACCTATTACCTTACTACTTTTAAAGTACACTTCATAATTCTACTGATTTTTTTCTTTTTCGAACCAATTTCCGTCTTTTTGTCAAAATTTTCTAAAATTACATAGGTTGGGAAATCCCTTGGCTCATTATTCCTAAATGTAAAGTAATTTGGACAATTGTTTAGGTAATTAATTTGTGAAGTAATAATGCGATTAATATTGCCTGAGTTTAAATTAAAATTAAAGTTTTATTAAACACACAAAATTACTACAAAAAAACAGTCAATAAAATGTAAATGATTTATTACATTTGAAGTTTAAATTATTTTAAAGAAACTTTTTTTTTGACTCATTTACTGATTTGACAAACCTATAAACGTAAATAACCGTGTAACTATAAACATTTATTGATTTTTGATGACTCTCCCGGTGAAAATGAGTTGACTTTAAATGGTTCTCTATCAATTTCGTAAAGTGGAAACCAAACTACATAATCATTTCTAGAAGTAAAGCAAAGGCTAGCTAATTTATAAATGTCGCAGGAAGAACGATGCAATGTCACAAGCTTTAATGCCATTGCACAGAGTTCCTGTTCTTTGTTCTGGGATGTTACCAAATTGCGAATTGGAAGAAATGTTCAGCAATTTCGCATAAATTAAGGGGTTTATCCGGAATGAGCAATTAATTTCCTATTTAAACGCAACATTACCTTCGGCCAAAGAGACGATCGCTGGAAGTGCAGGGCTGCACAAACCATTTGCCAAATCGCACAATGTCCTTGGTCAGCACGAACCTATAAGGGATATAGGATTAGGTTTTATCGGATGTGAAGCTATAAATAATATTACCTCTCCATGAGATTGTGCAGTGCCTTGAAGAGCAGCGATCGGCATTCGTAAGTAAGGGCTCCTTTCCAGGTGCCATTCCAAAGCGCTTGGTTGGCTAAAAAATAATAAGTTGGATATTTATTAGAGTTATCTTCAGCGTTCAAATGGTAAGAATAGATATGGTAAAACTATTGGTGTTAAACGACTTGTTTGATTTCATTTTCAGCTTCAGATATAAAAGTATAAACGTTTAACGGTAAATGTTAATCATTAAATATTTATGCCCGTTAAACTAATTAGATCGTAATAAAATTTTCAAGATCAATGGGTCATTGCCTTGTTTCTGTACAAGCATACTATTTAGCATTTATCACTCATAGCTCTATTAAAACTTTAATATAAAACCATTCCATGTAAATAATGCCCAAGTTCCAGATCTGAATGGATTTTACAACATTTTGTAGTCATTTCTAATAAAATTCATGATTTTTTTCAAACCTAAAAGTGGAAAATACCCAAAAACAAAAACAAATTGTGGAGAAAATAAATATAATTAACAACAATGAGAAAAACAATGAAAAGAGTCATCTACAACGCAAAACAATCCACTTCTCGTTTTTTCTCTAGCACTTTTCCTCTCTTTCTCGCAAAAGAGAAGTCAACGACGCGCGCACGCCTCAAAAAAAAACAAAACTTTTAGCTATTTATTTTTGTTTTGGTTTTGTTGTCGTTTGTAATTGGGTTGTTTTTTTTTTTTTAAATGACAAACAAACTTAAAGCAAGATAGCTAGAATGCCAGAAAGAGAGGCACAAGGCGGGATGAATAAAAAGAAAAACTGTGGACAAAAATGCAAATATGAGTTGAGCGGAATAAAAATGAAACATAAGAAGACAAGAAAAAGGGAACGAAACAAACAAAAAGCCGCCAGGCAACAAAATCCCAAAGCGGAAGTGCAAACACTTGAAAATAACAAAAAGCGCAACGAGTAGAAGGAAGAGAGAGTGGGAAAGGGAAACGGAAAGAGGAGAGGAAGGGGCGAAAGGATTTGGGATTTATAAAAGAAAAAAAGACAGTTCGGAAATTTTTGGAAAATTCCAAGCATCCACCACCTACAAACACACTCTTATGTTGTAAATCTCTCTTTGACTCTCTTTACTTTTTCTTGTTTTCAAGCCTGCACTTATTTCTTCTGGTTCTTTTTTGGTCAACTTTTTTTTTATGAAATAACTACATAATGGTAAGCAATATACATAAATAACAAAAAAAAAGCCACTGTAACAAGAAAGTTACAACTTAATGTACTATTTTCTATGGAACTACTTTGCATATTTTTTCTCTTCAATGAGATCAGCGTACGTTTTTTTTTTGTACAAAAGACGCCTAAACTCACATAGATATTAAAGGGCAATGTACGATTATGCCAGTGTGTGTGTGAGTGAGTGCGTGAGAGAGCCCACCTCCTGCTCTCTCTCCCTCCTCTTCTCCACTATTATTATCCCACCATCTCCATATTTCCCATACCCACTTCCAATTTCCATCCTGCAAGCCGGCTCTTCTTCGCTTCTCTTCTTCTCTGAGGTCACACTCACACATTGCCACACTCGGCCAACGGCTAAAAGTTCAAAGCTCGCCAAATAAAAAAAAGCCCACAAGGGTAGGCCAGCTTCAGCCGCTCTCTCACCAAACAAACAAAACAAAAACGAGAGACAAGACGCCACAAACGGGACGACAAACAAAAAAAACAACACATCAGAAGTGACTTTGAGTAAACAAAATACAATGTTCACACAAAATTATTGGTGGTGATTTTGTTCCGAAGTAATCAAAGTAAAAAATAAACTAAGAATGTTTAATGGATGTTATATTTTAATAAACAAAGATAAAACATCAAAGACAAAAAATTAAAGAAGACATTCTTACTTTAAAGTCGTTAAGCCCAGAAAAAACTTTTAGAATGAAAAGGTATTGCCAGTTAGAAATTTACTTATACTTATTATCGAAAATACTATTATTATTATTATTATTATAATTATTATTATTATTATTATTTATTAAATTTTTGTTTACTTTGTATACTTGTTTGTTTCAAAAACTATAAGTGACTTTAATCTACTTTACAAAAGGTACTCTGGTCATTGTCGTCTGCAGGTCGTGACATCCATTTCTTCAATTTCCACAGTTTTTTGCCTTATCCAAAAATCTTTCCAACTTCAAAGCTTCGCAACAGGAATCGTAATCGGGTGAAGTGAATCGGAATCGGGAATCGGAATCGACGGCGACTGCTCAATGCAAATTCCACAAACACAAACACATGTCTGTGTGGGTGTGTTTTTTTAGCACGTGTGGTTTGTGCACATGTTGCTGCTGCTCTCTCGCTCAAAAATAGAGAGGTGTAAAAGTCTCTCTGTCGAAAGTAGCGAGTAAGAGAGAGTGGTTGCTTGGGAGACAAAGTGCCGCTAGGCGTGCACTCGTACACCCACACACGCACACCTTCCCCCGCACTCTCAATGCTTTTTGTTTGTGGCCCAAAAAAAAAAACAATGCTATTTTGGGTTAACATTTTGCTAACGCAGCATAATACCGAAAGAGGGTTCCTTTTTCTCTGTGGGTATTTCACAACAACTGTAACGTCTTATAACAAGAGAGCGTTATTTAGCATTTATGTAGTTGTGTGCCACAAAATAAAAAAAAAAACAGAACGAGCAGCAACAAATGTTTAATCAAGGTCAATAATCTGCGCGCACACACATCGAAAAATTGTTTAGTAAGCGCAACAACAAATCCAAAACCAAAAGCAGGTAAAAACATGAATGCAAAAAGGCAACAAACAACAAAATGAGCAAGAAAGCGCATTGTAATTAAGCTTGCAAACCAGTTTAAGCTCATTGAGAGAGAAGAATCGCAAAAGAGAGACTCTCTCTGTATCTCACAGAGTAGCACGTAATTATTGGCTCCAATTGTGGAGCACACGCACACAATGACCCCCAGCACGCTCACGCACACACGTACAAGTGACAGCTGTTTAAGGTAAAAATCGTATGGCATCGAAATTACAACAACAAACTTTAAGTACATTGACAACAAGTAGCGTGTGTGGAGTGTTTTTCTTCTAAGAAGTGGAAGTAGGAGGTTAATAATTCTAGAATATACAAATATTTGGGATTTAGCTTAATGCTACTTGAGTTCTCCATCGTGAGTCCAAAAAGGAACCAAATAAAAAGAGCAAGAAGGAACAACTAGCTCAAAACCATACAAAAGTTTTTAGTAAATTAGTAAACAGTGGCAGTAAATTGTGAAAAAAGAGTGAACACTTTATTTGATTAACTGTCTTACAAAACAAAATACTTTATTAATTAGTTTTGAAATTTCTGCAGCAGAAAAATATAAATAGTAATAATACCGCTTAATTCTGAGATCTTTTTTTAAAGTTAGTATTAGTCTACACTCGTTACAAAACTGAAATTCCAAAACTATTGGGCTCTTAAGAACAAGTTAACTTTTAACTTTTTTAACAAGTTAACTTTTAAAGTTATATAAATAATAAAAGATTTGTTTAAAACTTAAAAAGGTTCTCTTAAACAATTTTTTTCAAATTTTCGATGATTATTGCTAGTAAGGGAAAACTTAAAGGTTTTATTCCACAGTGCAGGCAGGCTGAGATTTGCGGCGTTGCCATTTTCAGCTACAGAAAATCAGAGAAACAATGCGCTCTCTCTGTCCCTCTCTTTCTGAGTTTCATTCACACGCACTCGACAATACACACATTCACACCAACATGATGGGGGACGACAGTTTTTTGCCAGTTTTGTTGTTTACGGCCGAAACGAAAAGTCTATAAAAAGAAAACAAAATTCGCACAAACGACGGAGACAAAGTAATGTCAATGCAATTAGTCAATGTCCTTGTCATTAAAAAAATGCAATAATAACAAAAAACAAGGCGTTGCAGCAACGACAAAGGCAAAGGCAAAAACCAGAAAAAAATTTCATCAGCGGTAAAAGCTACGTGCATTCAACTCTCAACTCCAGACAGCAAAAAAGTGCGCGCCTAAAAAAAAGCGTTAACGCAAACAGGCAGCAAGAGCTAACTGTAAAATCAGTGGGCCACAATGACGTAGGCAGATAACGAAAAAAAAAAAGAGTCACACTTCCGTATCCCGTATCTCAGTCGACACTTCAATAAAAACAGAAATACATACATCATCTACAAGGTGGAAAGTACCAAGTTTTAAAAAGTATTTAGTAAATATTTTTTTTTAATTGAAAAAATTATTTCCTGGTTTAAAGAATAATTAAAATAAATTCGTGTCAGACAATTAAAGAAGACGGGTTTTTGTCTTTACTTTTAGTTATTTTAAACCTTCATTTTGTAAATTTATAGTTAGCAAATTTCTGCGCATTGTGCCAATTTATATATCGCTCTAGATAATTTTAGTACTGGAGTTGCGACTGAAGGGAACGTCAAGCAAAGGATATTTCTGTTTGAAAAACAAATTTTAATGAAATCTAAATTAAAAAAAATATACTTTTTTTCTATTAAATTTGGGAATCTTTGAAATATTAGATTACGGTCTTATGGATCTGGGACAACTAGCGGTTAATTGTTGGGTAATGGAATTTGCCACCGAAAACCGAAATTCCAATTCTCAAATGCACGATGTAGGTAGTACGTAGTTAGTGGTCACAGATAATGAGGCAATAACAAAATATTGAATAAATAGTAGCCACACGCAATGGCTGATAAGAGAAGAAAGGGAGATAGGGTGCAAACGAGAAGGCGCGGGAGGGTGAGCGAAAGAGAGCTTCTTTCGAAGGCCAGTGTGTATTGAATATTCGCAAGAGCAAGCGAGAGGGACGGAGAGAAAGAGGGAGAACGCGGGAGCACCCTTCTTTTGCGTTTGCATAATTACCAGAGAGCGAAAGAGACCCCAAGAGAGGGCGAACGAAAAACAGTGCAAATGACAGGTGACGTTTTAGCACTGTTTCCCCTTTCCTATTTTGCACAGTAAGAAAAATGAATTTTTATTGAAAAAATGTATTATTTTTCATGTTATTTTGACAAAGACAAAATATTTCTGCACTTTTACAAGGTGGCTATTACTTTTTGATAAAAAAATGCTCAGGGTAATGTTAATACATTCAAAAATTTGAATAGATTTATATTTCTACAAATACCAAAATATACAAAATAATTGGGAAACAATGGGATTCGCTGTCTTTTTTTTAACAGATCAGATTGATATTTCAATTCAAAGTCTAAAATTAAATTTGTGATTTTTTTTGTTTGTGTGATTGACGTTTGTTGCTGTTTTTCTCTTTTTTTCTTTTTCTGTTGCTGACGGTTTAAAACGACGCGATATGAGTTAAATGACGGCAAAGAAAAGGGGGGATGAGGAAGAAAGAGCAAGTAATATAGAAAATCAAGGAGAGGAGCAGGAGAGCAATAATAACAATAATAATCATCTGCCACAATCGAAATGTGTTTCGCGTGTTTCTCTGTTTGTTTGTTTTGTTTGTGTGTCGCGTTGTTTTGGCTTTTCTCATACAGAAGCGAAACACCCACACACACATTTATACCAAAAGAGATGGCGAATATTTGTTGTTGCACTGCATGCGATGGATGCGGCCTTGAAGCTTTATTAAATTCATCACCATGTTGCATGTGTGCGAGAGTATCTGTGTGTGTGTGTGTGTGAGAGAGAAAGAGAAAGGGACAAAATATTACAATCGATCTTGAATGTAACACTTATTTTTTAGGCTGTTAAAAAAGGCTTCCCTTACAGTGAACATACAGTATGGCGACCTAAATTTCTAACCACCTAGGACAAATTTAAGTTAATTTTTTAAATGCAAAAATTGTTTAAGTTTTTATAAAATATTTTATAAAACCAATAACATTTAACAACAACTATTTAAGATATTTCTTTTGAAAGAATACCTCACATGTAATCCTTTTGAAATGCATCCCCACTTTATAGATACCCTTACTCCAACCCATATCCATAGGCTTTTTAGGACGCGCATTTTACGCCAGGGAATTAAGAAACCATTTTACCCTCACGCGTTTATTTTTAGTATCAGGGGTCATTACAAAATAGTTTTTTGTTCCATTGGTTCAAATCTAAGTATTGATAACTTACCCGCTACTCTGAGCAGCTCGGCGTCGACCAGCTCACTGAGATCGGGCTCCTCGCCGTACCAGAAGATCCATAGCTCCTTGGCGGCGGCCAGCGAAAGGGGCGGGTGGACCTTGGTTGAGGTGGTGATCTCGAAGGTTAAGGCATTCGGGTCGGCGTTGTCCGTCTTCGTGGATTGGACCCTCCTCCACACGCACAGCATGTCCGCCTGGATGCATCGCGAATAGGAGCGCAGGATCGGGTCCGCTAATGGATCGCTCGATGCGTTCGGCCGCTCCCCGTTAACGAACTTCCGCCATTTTATTCCACATAAATCAGTCTGTAAAGAGTTCATAAGGAATTAGTCATTAATTCGTATTAAAGCAGATAATGGTAGTCAGACTTAATGCCAAATAGGTTTTGTAATACCCATAAAAGATAACTACTACTGAACAATCTTTATCAATAGAATGGTTTCTATCATTTGTTTACCCCGCCGTGACGAAAGTTCTATGTCCACACGCGCTTTTTATAAATGACGTACGGTAAGGTAAATATAGTCTTAATTCAAGATTTGTTATTGCAGCTGTTAGGGAAATATCTTGAAAGAAGTATAAAAGACACAGAGATTCGACCCAATTTACTTAGAATAGAATACATATTAGTTTCGAAAAGGCCATAAGTCTATTCACATGGATTTATTGACTTGGAATTTTTTTTAATTACAGAAACAAAAATAGTGAAAAAAAAACTAAAGTCCGTTTATGATATTCCATTTTTATAAGAATTGTAATTAAAAAAGAATTTAATGACCCATTTAATCGATGACCCGATTCAATATTGTAATACTATAGATAGATAGCTAGTGTTATTTCACAATAATTGGTTTGTGAAATCTTTACTGTGCAGTTTCTGAAACTAGGAAATCCCTTTAACAAAGTCTATATCACCTTTTGACTCACCGAGATTTCGATTTTAAATAAGTGATTATCGGCTTTTACACAAAATCTACCGATGGATGACGTAAGTTTGAATTACTAATTCATGGTTTTGTCACGATTTGGAGAGCTTGTACTGAATATTAAGCGTTCGAAAATTAAAAGAGGTTTTGTTGTACTAAATGTTCTGTAAAAATAATGTTATATTATGAAAATGACTAAGCTCTTAAATTTTTGACTTACGAATTGCTTGAAATTTCTAATTTAAGTCGTGTATTAAAAACTTCACTCTAGAGTTTATTTTTTACAAAAACAAGTGTTTTTATAAACTATGTATACATCAGTTTTAGAGTATTTTTCTCCTGTGTATTTCAATCTATACAAAAACGATAATCATCTTGAATTGTTGCCCACTATTTTACCAGTGTTGCGAAATCTTGCAAATCGCACAAAGACACATGTAAAAATACATTCCTCATTGCACTTGGCAGCAGCAACAACAATAAAAACGACCAAAGCGAAGCTCGAAAATCTTCCGCTGCCTCGCAACTCAAAACAAAAGCACGAAAAAAACGACAAAGTGTACAGAAGAAGGAGGAGAGCGGAGCGGAAGAAGAGCTGCACCAGAGACAAGAAAAACTTGGGGGCACCGAAGAAGAAACAAAAAGCGAAATCAAGAGAGAAGCACGGAGAAAAAGAAGAATGAGTGACTGACTAACTGGGCTCGTTGGCTTTTTAGCTTTTTTAGCCATTTGGGGTCGTCATTGGCGGCTTCCGTTGCAGAGTTGCGTTGGCTTTATACAACAGTCCCCAAATCCACACAAAACCTTGAAACTTCCAAACAGAACTGGAATCTTCTACGAAAGAATGCATATTTAACTAGGAAAAGTGAAACTCTAACCACATAAACCAAAACCCACCGAAAATTATAAGTCGAAACCCAAGCCGCAATCGCATTCATAATAACCATTTTATTTTTAAAACTGTGACCACCACAATTTACCATTTCTCAACGAAACAGCTTGGATAAAACTGATTTGTTCACTATGTTAAAAAACCTCTGGAATTATTTTGCGAGATTCTTTTGATACATGGACATTTTTTTAACAAAATACAAACCTACGTTTCACGATAAACAGTAAGCCAAGTTTTTAAAACTTTGTGTTTAATATATAGATGCCTAAAAGTCAAGGAATACACGAACATAAATGGAATCCCATTGCCCAAAAACAAATATTTATAAAGCTGGACCAATACTTCTTCAAAATGAAACCCTATGTATTTCAACATTTTGTAACTCTCCTCTCACTTTTAGATATTTTGAGTTAGGAAAACTCGCCTTGGAGAGGTTTTAAGAAGCTAGTAATTGTGAAAAATGGAAACAAGTTGCTGGTGTGGCAAGTGGCAAGTGAGAAAGCAGTGCAAAATCAATGAGCCAAAACGAGATGGGGCCAAAATAAATAACTGCACCTTCACACACTTCCATACATACACAGGCGGGCTGGCGCACGCACACCAACACACCCAGAGGTATTCCCCCGAACCGGCCATTCTCATCAAATTCTCAAGCCCTCTCTTTTTTCCACCACACCGTCTTGACGACAAAAATGTTCCACATTCTTCCGCTGCTGCCTCTCGCTTCAGTTTTTGCCATTTTTGTGTGTGTTTTCATTTTCGCTCTCAATTCGTCTCGCTGTTTTTGCTTCGTTTCGGCTTTCAGTTTTTGGCTTTGGCTTTTGTTTTTGGGCGAGCTATCTCGTAGGTTGATTTTTTCTATCTTTTATCTGGCCACTGTACGTACTGTCTATCTTTCTCCCTTCTCGCTTTTTGCAATCCTTCAACGAGAGCGGGAGAGAGAGAGCGTATTTCCCACTCTTTTGCTGTTATCATTCCGACATGCTTATGCTTTTTATGTGTTTGCAGTTGTATTTGTTCACGCGCGCGTGCCTCTCAAGTTCAAACTGCTCTCTCGTTCGCCGTCTCGCTCTGTCGCCTTGCTCAGAGAAAGTTTGGCGCGTTTGTTATTGTTTCGTTATTTCGTTGGCGTCGGCCTCTCCTTCTCCCCTTGTCATTTGGCTACACCAAACTGTCCAAGAGAGTTGTAAGTAGCAAGACGGATAAAGAGAGTGGCAGCGGAAGGGAGAGATCAAGAGTGGAGTAGGGGAAGTGGAGCACGTTGACTTGTACGCATTGTCGTCGTCATCGCCTCTTCTTCTTTGACTATTTCTTTCGGCTTTTCCGTTTTTTTCGGCTTCTGTATGTCTTTCGTTTCAGCTATCTCCTCTTTCCCCCGTGAGATTCATTAAAGAAATATGCCAAGGAGGAGAGACAGCAATAGCAACAATCACAAGCGGGGCCAACAAACTAGTCGTACTACCAAGTATTCAGTCTTCAGTTTCCAGTCGCGGGTCTTGAGTTTTTAGTCTCGACTTTTGTGGCTCGGGGAGAAGGAGAACCTGTTATGGGCCACAAAGTCACCGAGCCGCAGTCACAAAACCCACAAAGTCACAGAGCAACAGCCGCCAGTTGCCACAAAGTCAGACGTTTTTACTGCTACAGTGGACACCCGGTAACCGGATCGACTATATAGTACAGTTTTTAGATTTAATAAAGTAAAAATAAATAAACAAATTTTGATTTTGATCTACGCTTTCATACCCTAGATACAAGTAGGTTTTAAGCTGAGAAAAAAAGAATTAAAAACCTAATAAAACGTTATCATAAAAAATGAAAAAGAAGATCCTAAGGTTCCCAAATGAATAAACATATTAAATATAATTACTTCATTTCATTTTCTGTCTTTCAGTTTTAAATTAAAACTTTAAAAAAAGTTTTTAGAAATGTGATTTTGTGTAAATTATTGAAGCCTGTTGCTATGCATTGAATTGACTTATGCAGTAGTTAATTATAATTTTAACATTGTATGTATTTTTTAAGGTTTAGAATTTTGAAGTTAACAACCCCTTTGTGAAAGAATAATCAGAATTTAAGGTCGGTATTTTACAATTCATGTTATCGAGATTTAAACAATTAATATGATTTAGGTTGGCAATACCATAAAATAAGAAATGAACTAAAATTAAAAACGTAAAAACATTGTAATCAAAATATGTAGTCTGTCTAGGACCAGAAGTTATGGAAAATTAATAAAAACAAGTTACTGATCTGCATTGTTTTTTTTTATATTTTTTTTCCTAACTATTGTTATCTAAACTTTTTTTGGTTCTTCGGCAAGCATCTGTAACGCGATAACGATAAACAGCTGGCGCTGACCGGCGGCACCTTCGCTGCCAATCGATTACAGAGTGAGATGGAAAGAGATCCCATGATCGGTGGTTTACTTTTGACTGTGTGGGTGACACACCCCCGCAAGCGACCCCACCCCTTCCCCCTGAATCATCACTGACCTAGATCTTCTAGTAAAATAAACCCAAGCAAAAACAATTGCAAAAAAAATTTAACACAAAACACTCACCAAGGCATAAAAGTTTGTGTGGCAATCCTCCAAACTTGCGCCGTTTGTCTGATGATTTTGATGCGTCATAGTTCTTGGCTTGTTTTCTTCGCACAGCAGCAGCTCCTCATTTTCTCAACGTTGTTGCTTGTAGTGTATTGCTATTATTGTTATTTATCTGATGTTGTTATTTGTTGTTGATTTGGAAATTCTTTAGTATTTTGCACATTTGCTTGCTTGATTTTTATTCTTTTTTGGATATTATTTTTTATTATTGATTCTGACACACACAACACACACAGAGATATAGGCACGGACACACACGCGAAGGAGAGCGAGAGAGACAACACACACGGATACACAAATATTGAACTCTCTTTCGACTCGTTTCTTTGCTTTCGATATTTTGTTGTTGTTGAATTTTGTTTGTAATTTGCTATTTGATGTTTGGTTGTTTGGTTTTGATTTATTTATTTATGTGTATTTTATATTTATTTGCTCTCTCCCAAGAGAGAATTTAAACGTAAACGTTGCTTTGGCAATGAAACACACATACTGTATAATTATGCATGTTGCTGTTGTTGTTGTTGGTTATAGCTGGAATATAAAATCAGTTAGACCTTTTTACACTTATTACTTGTTTTTAATTTCGAGATTATTGCAATCTTGCGCTTATTAGTTAATTTTCTTATTGTTTTTTGTTTTGTGATTATTTGTTGCTACACTCACACACACATATATACCACAATTACAAGGGTTCGTTCATTCGCTGTTTCATTCATGCAAAAGAGAGCGACTCAGAAATTGACTTTTTCATCCGAAGGCAGCGAGTATATATACACACACACACACACACACACACATTTACTTCTAGAAACACACAAACGACGATGAAAGTCGTTGGATTTTTCGTTAATCGTTGATGTAGACAAAAAATGAAATAAGTAAGTTTTTGGTTATATTTTTCAGATCGAACCCAGCTTATTAATGCCTTTTTAAACAGAAAATTTAAATTTATAATGCAAAATGAGATGAGTAATAGGGAAACACCAACACAAACACAGAAGATTACACACACAGAAAAATTCGAGTCAGTTCATATTTTTTCGAAAATAACAGTACTTTTAATATTTATATTTAATCTATTACTCAGGCTTGAATTTCTGGCGATGTATTTAGTGTTTTTTGCGCACAAATGACGAGTCAGAAATTTTCGAACCGACTGCGAACGCTGGCCGCCACACACAATGGAAATTTTGCTCGCCTAGCTTTGAATCGGCCATATATATGGTATATAGTCTGTCTGTTTGTGTCGTAGCAGCGGCGAGTGTCGAGAGAGCGAGTAGCGGCCGAATAGCGGCTTTTGCTCTTTTTGCAGAGAGAGAGAGGGAGAAAACAAGTTTTACCAGCTAACTGCATTTGAATTGGTGTGCGTGTGCGTTAGTGGCGGCGTCTGTTTATCTCGCTCTCTCTCGCTCGCTCTCGCTCTTTGTGCATCTCTTGGGGATGCAACCTTTTTGAGCGAGAGAGAACAGATCGATTAAGGGAAAAATCTGAAACTAAAACGAAACTCGAAAGAAATCCGAAATTCCATAATTTATGCACTATTCAACACTGCACAGACACACACACAAAGTGCGAAACGTGATACATAGGCAGGCAGCATTCCTCTCACACACACACACCTACACGGCAAAGGCAGAGCAACCACTTTCATAGTTTTCTTTTTGCCCCGTTTTCTGTGTCTCTGGGCAGTGATGTGTGTGTACACCTCAGGTTTTTAGATTTTTACTTTCGGCCACTCGAAATAGCCGAAAAAAATGCCACCGATAACTAAAATCGCACAGTTGTTGCATATTCCTCTTTTTTCATTCTCCTACTCCTCTTTCTCCCACACACACACGCAAAGCGCCGGGGCAGCGACCGCTACAGCAATTAAAAACTATTGAACATTTCCGCTGCAATGTTTAAACACGGCTTAAATGCCATTTAATCATTTTGCGCCACAATCATTCGTCATAAATCAACACTTGGCACTATTATTTATATTTAATTTGTTGCAGCTATTCTTTCACACACACACACCACAATCGCACATCTCTTCTCGGACATTCGCTTTTGAATTTGCACTTTTCGATCTTATTTTTACGTTTTATTATTTTTTTCGGTGTTCTTTTAGATTGCCGATCTAGTTTTCGCAGGTTTTTTACATTTTGTGCCACTTTCTCTTTGGCATTCGCAAACGGAAAAATCTGCGATCGATTTTTATAACAATTCGCAACAAATATCAGGGAAAACTTGCCGTCGGCGGCAGAGCCAGTGTTGTTCGACGAAAAATCCACCACATTAAACGCTTTTGCGTGGTATTTTAGAATGACTGAAAAACTACCCTTCTAAACAGGCAACTCCGGCCACACCGCAAAATGGTCGCCACTCGTACATAGGAAAATGTTCACACCAAAAAATATTTTTCCTGTTATTCTGCATTCCATTTCTGTAACGGTTGGCAATAAGTAAATTATTTTAATTTCTCGATAGTTCGCCTAAAACTGTAAACTGTAAGTTTTTTAATTTGCTCCACAAAAATAATCTTATCCTTGTCCTTTTCATATATAGATAATCTTTAAGGAAATAGTAAAAGTTTTGTTAACATTATTAATAAATATTTTCAAATACATTTTTTTTTAACATAAGATAATATTTATACCTTATTTGCAGATTGAAACTATGTTAGGTAAAATAAGTTCATTTCAACAAGTATTTCATACTCTACAATTAACAATTGGTTTTAGCGATCGACTCCGATGTACTCACTTTGTAAGTCTACCCAATAGCTTACTTTGACAGTTCTTAAGAATCATGTCATATAATATACTTAAAAGGCGTTTAAAATTTAAGTTTTTGGTTTTTAAAATTGATGCCAAAACGAATAATATGACATTTGCCACATAGGAAAAGCAATTGTCTTTTCCAACAGCTGTTTTAAAACCATTTTTCTTAATAGCAGCGCCCTCTGTCGGAATTCTTGAAACGTCTTCTGTTAACTTAAACTTTTTGAGAGCAAATGAGGCAATTGGAACCAAGACAAACTTTTCCAGTATTGTAAGACGCTTTATGTTAGCACACGTAACATTTTTAAGTGGATCTTAATATTAATGATGTAGATTTAGAATTAGAATAAGAAGCTATACACGTAGCTCCAGCTGATATTTATAGAGAATAAAGTTAAATATTTAATTCACAGTTATTTAAAAAGAAAACGCCGACCTTAACCGTACAAAAGCGAAATATTTTTTACATTTTGAAGTTAATTAGTTAACTTCTTATTTATCTTAACACAAAATCATAAATATTCTTTATTTGCATATTGAAATTATTATATGTTACTGTTGCCATTAAAAATACATCGTTTCATCTCTAGCACGATGCAACAGCCGTTTTATTGTTTTCCATCTCTAAGTGTGACCACACTGCAGCGCTCATGGCCAAAAACAATTGCCGCAAAACGGCGCTGCCGTGCGAAAACCAGTTTTTTTCCTTCAAGACCGCCAAAGCACCGACCGCCCCCCGCCGCCCAAATTCCATGACACTGCGTGGGGCAATAAAAACAAACAGAACGCTTGGCCACCTGAGAGCGACCAACTGTAAAAGTGGGCCGCCCGAGAAGAAGAGCAGCGACGCTGGCAGCGGCAGACCTCGAAGATTTCACTTTTCGACGAACGATTCAACGGAGCGGAGCTAAAAAACTCGATTTTCTCACCAGCAATTGTAAATAATTGTGATTTTGTAGCCGAATAATAATAGGAGAACAATCATCATGTACCGCGCCAGTGGGTTAAGGATTATGCAACAGCTGCGACGAAGGATTCCCTCGGAGATTCAGGGAATTCCAAACATTAAAGTTGCGCCTGCGCTGCAAACTTTCACTTTCCAACAACAACAACAGCAACCAGATCGCTGGACGGCAACTTCGGCGGCCAGTGGAAAGCATTCCAGTGCGCAGGTGGCGACCCCGCCCCCGCGGCACGACTGGAATAGGGCGGTCAGCGAGGCGGAGAGGATCGTCGGCTATCCCACATCCTTTTTGAGCCTGCGCTGGCTGCTCAGCGACGAGATCGCCAATGTGGCGCTGCACTTGCGCAAACTGGTGGGCAGCGCCCATCCGCTAATGAAGACCGCCAAGTGAGTACCATCCCCAAATTACTAGATTACAGAACTCAATTTATTTTTCTATAAATTTGTTACATTAAAAACGAATTTTTATTTTTAAAGTGCTCCCATGACTTTTGAATAACTTTTGTCAAATATTTTAGAGTCTGATAAAATAATTAGTTTATAAGACTAAACAGTCCTTAATTTGATTACACGCCTTTAGGTTTTAAAGAGTACTTAAATCAAAAAGTCTAGAAAAAAACAAAAAATTGTATTTAAAGTTGGAACTGGAAACATGAATATAATTTACATATTATAAATCAAAAATCAATATTTCAGGCACCTGCTATACAATGGCAAGAACACAATGCAAGCTTGGGGATTGATAGTGCTCCTGGTGTCCAAGGCCGCTGGACATGCTCCTAGTGTTCCCGATGTGGAACAGGATAAGAGTGCCGGAGTGCTCCACTCACAAAGAGCTCTGGCTGAGGTCACTGAGATGATCAGGATCTCACATCTGGTCCACAATGTAAGTTGAATTTTGATAGAAAAATGTTTGGGAAGGTGACGTATTTACTTCCAAAAAGAAAACCTTCGGAAGTTAAATCCGTAATGCATATATTACTTGGCTTTGTGCCAAAAAATCAGCTCTCTTTTTATGTATGTAAATTAGTCTCGCAGCTTAGTAGCTGTCCAAACAGCTATAACTTTCCACTAATTTATATACCATAAAGTTGTCATTGAAAATTGCTGCTTGGTTAGGAATTGCTTTGTTTTTCTCTGTTTTCCTAGGTCTTTTTGAGGATAGATAGAAATAAGGTCGGGGTTTCAAACAAAATTGCAATTCTTCCCGAAAAATATAAGTCTATTTAAATACAAATGGTGCATTAAAAATTATTTTTCTTCAAGGCATATGTTTTTAATAATGCCCAACACTTTTAAATATATTTAAATTAAGCAATGAATGAATGTCATTCAACAATTTCAAGAACATTGACCATATCAACGAATATATGCCATTTCCTATCTAATTGTTTAAATCTTAACAGCTCACCTTATAAATGAAAGTTCAACATTTCCTAGAAAATTTCATTCAGAAATCATTTTTGTATCTCTTTTAGAGCGTGGTCAACCTGCAGTCGAGCACACAAGCTGGCCAGGATGTAGCCACCTACGACGACATGTCCTTTGGCAACAAAATCGGCCTGCTGACCGGCGACTATCTGCTGGGCCATTCCAGTGCAGAGCTGGCAAACCTGCGAAACCAGGAGGTGGTGGAGCTCATCTCGTCGGCGGTGCGTGACTTCTCGGAATCGGAATTCATTGGAGAGCGAGACGAACAGAACAATCCGCTGCCCTACAAACCGGGAACCTTTCAGCGGCCATCGCTCAGCGTTGGTGTCGATTTCAACGAGCACGATGTGATGACCCCGATGCCCATTGCTCAGGTTCTTGGAAATCCTGAGGAGGAATGGGAGTGCCGCAACATCCTCAATGCTGGTAGTCTATTGGGCAAATCCTGTCAAGCTTCGCTAAAGTTGGCCGGGCAGAGTGAGGAGCTCCAGCGGCATGCGTATCGCTTTGGCAAACACTTGGCGCTCGCTTGGCAGGCTTGCTTGGATGCCGAACCATTTCAGTGTCCCCAACTCCCGCTGGATGCTGCTTTCAGCCTGGTCAGTGCTCCAGTTCTCTTCCATTTGGAGCATGATCCCGGAATGTATGCCCAACTGGAGGCGGGCAAGCAATCGGTGGATAATATCGACTACGACAAGATCCACAAGGCAATTCTAGCCGGTCCGGCGTTGGCTAAAACTAAGGAACTGCAGAGGAAGCATACGGCAGCCGCTTTGGCTGTTCTGCAGCATTTCCCGGCCACGGATGCTCGCCAGGCTCTGGAGAACATCATCCTGGCCATGCAGGATCTCTGATCTGAAACAATCGATGGCGATTTATCACGGGTTCAGGGCTTAGTTTAGATGTATTTATTCCATTGGGTCATTCTTCATTATTGCAGACATTGTTGACTAATCTTAAACGGAGTGCTTACTTTTGTTATATCACACATTATTTGGTGCAAGTACAAAAATTATAATTTTTAAAAACGTTTTTAAAGTCTTTAAACTAATCAATAGATTTTGTACTTAAATGATTGGTATATGAATAAACACTTTACAATACACAAACAAGTAATGTTTAATATATTACACAATTTAATGGATTTTTATTCAAATTCTTTAAATTTACCCTGTAGTTCTAAAAAAAAACTAACTGACATTTTGCAAGTAAAATCAAGCTAACTTTCAACTAGTTAAATAAGGTACATTTAAGGTGTCATTCGAATCTAAGAAGCGGAAGGTTTTTTGAGGTCTACTAGACGTCTAACGACTGGTGATCTTCATTAGCACCAGTTGCTTGCAGCGATCATACTCAAAATACTGAGGGCAGTCTGCCGCATGAGGTATTCGTACATGGGGGCCACGGAATCGCAATCCTCCAGGGTGAACACATATCGCTTCTCCAAGGCCATAAATATGGTTTTGGATCTGCCAGTTTGGCGTCCCCGTTCCAGGAGATGATCCACCACGGAGATGAAGGCATCGGTTAGGGTATCACAGTAGATGACATCGGCAGCAAGGATTATGTCGCTATTGTCGATGGCTTCGAGGAGCTCCTGAGATTGTTCTTCTTTGGGGGCAAGGAAATCGAACTCCAGAACAGAGACTTGACCACTGAGAAGTTTGGAATTTCTTTGCACATTCCCCCGGATTAGCTTTAGAATGCAGCCCAGATCCACATCAGTGCAGTAGATCCGTCCGGCGTTGTGTATACCCGCAGCGATGCTGGTCAGACCCACGCCAGCTCCAAGTTCCATGAGGGTTTTGCCGGAGAACTCTTCGATTTTCGAGAAGAGGTAATCCGCCAGGAGAAGGGCTCCCCGCCACACTTGCAAACCCACCAAGCGCAGTTCCGTGGCCTCGGAATGTTCCAATTCGATCACGCCACGTCGTGGCCTTGGCACCTCGAGGTCACCATCCTTATCCGCCGTAATCCTTGCCAGCTTCTGCTCCGGATAGACGAAACGGAATTTGGACACCACTTTACCGCCATCGCGGGTCGTCTGGTAATTGTTCTCGCCGTAGATCTCCGACGTGACCGTGAACATGATCGGTTATGTATGCATCGGGCCAAGAGCATATAGAATATATATGTTTAATGTTGCGGTCGGACGAGACATTTTCCCCGGGCGTCGTGGGCGATTACAAATCGGTATCGCCAATCGGTTTAGGGAAAATTGATTTTGAATTTTGTCTTTGCACAGTGGGCCAAATTGGGCCAAATTTTTGGTTTTTGTACTAAATTGAAATTTAAAATTCGTTTGCTTAGAGCTTTATATAGCTTTATCTGGATTGAATCCCTATTTGAGTCCACTTACCAAAATATGTTATTATGTTAGAAGTTTATTGAAAACTTGGCAGAGAAATATTTAATCAAAATCTCAATGTTTATTTTACTTTGCAGCTGCATGTTATTTAAATTTTCATTTATCGTGACATTGCTGACCAAATCTTTGCTATAAAAATCAAGACACATAATAAACACCTTTTGGTTCGTTTGCTAAGTACGTTTATAATTTAATTTATTTCAGGAATTTTTTTTAAATGTTTGGCAATAAGTCAGAAACTATATTTATATTGAAAACAAACTTTTTCTTATTGACAATAGAGCACTTAAATTATTATTTATCCCACTGTAGCAAACAGCTGATCCAGTGCTTGTTAACATACATCTGGATCCATTTCACAACACTGCCAATTTAGGCGTGCACCGAGACAAGACAAATCCAACTGAATTTAAACGAAATCATGGACGACGAGGACGATCCCGTTGTGGAGGAGGTGAGTCTGGGTGTGGCACCATCATTTCTGAATATAATCCCCCGCCAATCCCCCCCCAGATACCCGTCTTTCTGTCGAAGAACCTGCAGGACAGCTTGTACCTCTTCCAATACCCAACGAAAACGGAACTCCCGAACCACGATGACTCCGTGATTGTTAATTGTTGTGTGAAACCAATCGCCCAGGAGGTGAAGGTGGACTTTGGCCTGGACATTGAGTCCACCCACTTTGATCGCTTCAAGGGTGAACAATTTGCGGTAGCCGCCGATGGCAAGAACACCTTTGGAGCGGTGCCACCAAAAGGTCAGGAGCGACCCACCTACAAACGTGGCATTATGGACAAACAGGCCTTCACCAGCTCGCGATCTCTGACCGATGTGGCCAAGTACATTGTGGGCATTTACACGGATCGGGAGTTCCACCTTTCGCCACTTACCTCAATTGTCCAGATGCGTCCCGCTCTCAGCCACTTCGACAAGGAGGACAAGCGCAAGAAGGCGGAGCAAAAGGCCCAAACGGAGGACACGGACGACGACGAGGTGCTGCAGCAGGTCACGGTGAAGTTTGCCCGTGGCAATGCCAAAAACAGCGGCAAGGAGCAACGTGTCGGCACCTACGATGGCTTTGTCCAAAGGATAGCGGATGAACCTTGGTGCGAGGCCTACTGGCATTCAAGGGGCACGCCCACCGCCGAATTGGAGCGCCAGAAACTCTTCGCCACTAGTCATCAGGGTAGTCAGGCCTTGGCCCTTGGTCCAGGCGACTATCTGCGGAAGCTCTTGCCCTACGACGAGCATGTGCAGCCGGTTGTTACCGCAACTGCTGCCACTGCTGCCGCTCAAGTCCTTCCCGTCTACAACAAGGCCATGCTGAAGAGTATGCCGCTGCTAGAGCAACTCACGGTGCTCCTAAGGGATGCCCGGATGCTGTCCTTCAGCGATGTGATCGGCATACTCACCGAGCATGTGGATCCGCATGTGCCGGCCGACAAGGTGCTCGCTCTGCTGCCCCAGGTGGGCATCCTGCTGCACGGCAACTGGGTGCCGCGATCCGAGGTGGTCTTTCCCGAAAAGATGCTATCCCATGCCAACGGCGTGCCGGCGGAACAGATGATTCGCGCCAGGGATTACATAGTAAGTCGAGGGATATTATGTGATCTGATTGATTTCATAATTAGTACACATATTTCTGCATTGCAATTGAACAATTTAATTTATTATTTATCACTAATGATTCATATTCCTTTTCCAGCTCTTCCGTTTCTCCCGCACGCCCTACCTGTTTCGCACTCAGGTGATGGCCGCCACCCAGTTGCCACCGTCGGAAACACTGGACGTTCTGAGGACCGTGGCCCGGGTGAACAGCACAAAACGCTGGGAGCTGCTGCTGCCACCGGACAAGGAGTTCGAGCAAAAGTATCCGGAACTGGTGGGCCGCCAGGAGTACCACTGGACCGCCTCGGAGCAGCACTACAACGAAATGGACTGGGCCAGAGAAACGAAGCGAGTGCGTAAGCGATCCACAAGGAAGAGCGAGTCCCAGTCAATGTCCACATCCATGCCGCCGCCTGCAAAGAATCCTCTAGCAACTGGATCCGTGGACGCGTAGCATCGGATGATAACCTCCCAGTGGCGGAGGAATGGGAGCACAAGTCTTATACATCTAGGCACTAATAAAGAGACCAACAAGTTTATTTTGTTACAAGCAACGACATTGTGATCAGATCTGCAATTTCCGTGGACAAAGTATTCCGATTTGTCTTGGTCACCTGATAGAGAATCGATCCGGATGTTTTTCTGAGCTGCTCTACCAAAATTAAGCTCGACTTTTCGGGTATTGTGACGACTAAGGGTCGTTTTTTCCTTAGAAGCTCACCCACGGCCGACTCAAATCGCTTGCTAAGCAGCTCCATTTTGCCCACTTCGTCGATGACCAGGAGCTCGGGCTCTGGCCCAGAATCCTTTTTAGCCAGCAAAGGCAACGTGAGGTCCTCAAAGTCCTGGATAAATACTGAATACTTGCCCACTTTGGGGCGTCGCAGTTTATCTGTGGTATTCTCTCGTGACAGAATTCCATGTTTTCCATCCAGGGTAACCACATCAAATCCAATTCTTTGTCCAAATCCACTTCCTTCACTTCGCACTTCTTCCGTATAGAAACCTCGGAGGATGTGACCCTTATCCCGCAGATTCGAGCAGATCTTACGGACCAGCGTGGTTTTACCAACACCTGAAAAGGAGTGATCATTACAAACATATTTTTAAGCCAAATTTTTAACTGATTAAGACCTGGTGGTCCTGTTATTATTATAGTCGTTAGAATCGTTCTTTCCATGTAGCCGGCTTTATTATGGAATTTAAAGAATAAGTTTTAGGTGAACTAGATCAACCAGGAATGGACTATATAAAAGAAGGTTCCAATTACCATTTTTTGAAAAAAAGATATGTCAAATTGTTAAAAGCTATTTTTTTTTGTAATATCACAAATTTCAAAATTATCCTAAAAAACTTATTTAAGCGAGCAAAAAATTAATATCCATGTAACTGTTACAGTTTTAATAATGTTTTGGTAATATTTAATACAAAAATATAAGGCAGTAAAATCCTACATTTGTTTTAAAACGCTTTGAGATAGTAATATTAAAACTAGCAAGGGAAACCACTTATATGTAAATATTAAAATATTTTAAAAGTTTAATTATAAATAATAATAGTAATATAAAATAATAATAAAACAGATTAAGACCTGCATTACTTTGAACGTATAAAAGCTTGGTCCATTATTTTTTGTCGTGCCAAAAATGTTTGTGAATTATTGAATACGCTTGGTAACCTCTTGAAAATATCGATAATATGACCCAAATATTCGAAATATCGATACTATCGTGAGTGGTAAGCCAGATCTTAGAACCGTTGGTGGCAAAGCCAGTGTTGGTCAATGCCACCGCATGGTAATTTTTAATAGCTGATGAACTACCCTACTAAAATGGCAAATGGTCGTCTTTCGAACCTTGTAAAATGGTCACACCAAAAAATATCGTCGACCGAGAAGCGCATTGTGTTTTCGTCGCGCGTGAATTGAAAATCGGTAAATCCAATTGTTGCTCGCGCTTTATTGTGTTGGTGCCGAGAAATACCAGAGAAGACCGGAGAATCCAAGGGCATTACATGCGCGTGAAGTTTTGGCTCGCAGCAAGCTGCATTTTCCGTTCTTTTTATTGTGAGATTCAAAGTTGCCCTGCCTGTTCCTCCGCCGCCGCTTCCCCACCGCTTTATCGCCCTCTCCTCCACCTCCCCTCTTCGCGCGAGTGCGTGTGCGTGGCTGGCTATAATGTTTTGGCCATAAAAAAGTGCAACCCACCACCGATCCGCTGAGAGTTATAAACAAAAGCAGTGCAGAAATGTCCGAGGCCGATGTGAAGAACCTGTCGCAAAATACGGATGGCGATCAGGAACTGCTCCTCCATCAGACCACACAATCCCTGCTGATGGCCAGTTCCATGTTGTTCGTGGAAAATCCCGGAGGGGGCGGGGCTGTTCCCATACCAGGACCCGTTTCCCTGCCCCTTTCGATCGGTTTGCCCCATCATCAGATCCCCTACAACGTGGACGATCTGCTCCGGGAGAACAATGCCCTACATGCCAAAATCAAGGAGTTGAGTCTCGAACGGGATCGCCTGCTGTGCGAGGTATCCAATTTGCGACTCGAGCTGGATATGTCGGAGCTCAAGAGGTTGCCCATTGATCTCGATGAGAAGTAAGTGCCTAACTATGATTAATATGTATTTAAAAACGTATAGGGGTGTTTCCGTTCTACTCAAAAAATGTTTTTCTTATTGTACATTTTGATTAGAATAAATAAAAAAATTAACTTATTTTTGTACTAATATTAATGAAAAATTTCTTGAAACGAAGTTATTAGATTTAAACAATATATAAATGGTTGAAACCAAGTTATAAGATTTAAACAATATAAAAATGCTTAAAAAAACTTTCTAAAAAATATTTTGAGATCATAAATACATATACACACATCATGCATATACATACATATGTATTTTAAATACACGGTCAGAGATCATTGGTTTTTATTTGTTTTTGTGCTTTTCTTAAGTGTTTCTTATCAGGACGGCATTGGGCTTTCAAGTTTCATGTCAAGGCTCTTTTAAAATTATTTATTGATATTTATTTATATCTGTTCATTCTTAATTGGGGAACATGCATAAATTAATTAATTATGGTTTAAGTATTTGGAATCTAAACGCAACAAGTTTAATGTTTTAAATTTGTTTTTATTTGCCGTATTCTGATAGGAAACGTTCTTCAAAAGTATTTATATTTCAGGCATAATAAGATACTAGTTGGCATAAGATGCACTAATTGGATTTACAAACTATTAGTTGCAGGCTATTCTTGAAGCAATAT